CTATACTACATGATTTAGTGTCTATAACACTTGTTATCGAAGAAAAAAAATCAAACTGTCAATTTGATCAATTCTCTTTTTGAGAATTACTAAATGGATGCTTTGCGTTTACATTCCTTTTTTTAGTCGACACGTATTCGATCAATATTTGCTCATTATAAATAATGTCCATCATATGATTTCTTTCGTAGTAAAAACTGTCTTTATTTTCTTTACACTTTCTTTTCAGTTGTATTCTTTAGATTAATACTTATTATTTTTAAAGTATGAAAAAAATCTAATTTTGCTATCCAATTGAATCGTATTGTTCGTAAAAGTTGAGCTAAATAACGCAAGACCAACGCGTACGTTATTTTACCATGTAAAAAAAAGATAATGCCGCAATAGGCGATAGACAAAAGAAGAAAAAAAGATAAGAAAAAATGAATAAAAGGCGAACTAACTAAAGCGTCACATGGTTAGAACGAAGGTGTGTGCATTTGTATTGGCAATAGATAAGCATTAGTATATCACAAGAATCGCAAATCATTTTAGTCTTACTGAAAAAATGCAAGCTGATTGGGAACATTTAAAAGTACCATGAACTTTGTACACTTGTGAAGTATATGTTTACATTGTAATTTTCATTTAGTATCTTAATGGTTTCGGCAATCATTTTTCGTCTGAAGATCCACGTTGTCCGAATTCACTACCAAAAGACCAAGTAAATTCAATTGAGAGAAAGAAAAACGGAAATTTTTTTTTCTCATGATTGATTTTTATTTTTTCGTTAAAGAATACACCTCAAGTGTGCCCTTATGGTCTTTATGCTGAGCAATTATCTGGTACAGCATTTACGGCACCACGAGAAACTAATCAACGAATGTAAATAGTTCGATTTTGTTCATCAGTAAAAATAATGATTTCTTTGTTTGTATAGTTGGTTTTATCGAATTTTGCCAGCAGTACTTCATGAACCGTTCCGTTCAATTAAATCAGAGTTTCTTACAAATCATTGGGATCTATCAGAACCTAATCCAAATCAAACGCGTTGGAAACCGTTTCATATCCCGTCAGTTGATGATGAAAAGAAAGATTTCCTTGATGTAAATACAAAAATAAAGCTCGTTTAGATGATAGTAAATCTTATTTGAATAGAGCTTAGCAACAGTATGTGGTGCAGGTGATCCATGTTCTCGTCATGGTGCTTCAATTTCAATCTATGCTTGCAATAGTTCAATGGACAATCGAGCTTTTTGTAATGCCGATGGAGATATGCTTATTGGTAAGTCTGACATTTGATGGTCTAGTTTGTTTGCGTTTTGTATTACCTAAATTTTCATAGTTCCACAACATGGATCATTATGTATAAGTACGGAATGTGGTCGAATGTTGGTTAAACCGCAAGAAATTTGTGTCATTCAAGTATTCGATGAATAAATTTAATCATTCGAAATGAAAATAGTGAATTATTATTATTTTTTCTAGCAAGGAATTCGATTTTCAGTGGCTGTTGATCAACCATCGCGTGGCTATGTCCTTGAAGTGTTCGATAATCATTTTTGTTTACCTAGTTTGGGACCTATTGGTAAAATTTATGAGCTACAGTTTCTTTTTAATTCTTTTTTTCTTCTTCTTATCCTATAGGTGCAAATGGTTTAGCAAATCCACGTGATTTTGAAACACCAACAGGTAATAATAATCACAATTTTTTTTTATTTAATTAATTGTTTATGTTATTTTTACAGCATGGTACGAAGATCGAGATTGTGATTTTACTGTTGTTCATAAATATCAAGGAAGTTTATTTCAATCGTCGCAAGTGAATTAATTTGAATATGATTTCAAAATGGAATCTTTTTTTTCTTTTCAAAAGAATCATTCATGTTTTAATGTGGTCGCTTGGCACGGTAATTATGCACCGTATAAATATGATCTACGAAAATTTGTCGTGATTAATTCTGTCTCAGTTGATCATCTGGTATATTTTTCTTAAGAATTTCAAAAAAAATGTTTTTTGTTTTTTCTTCATCTTTTAGGATCCATCAATATTTACCGTTTTAACATGTCCGTCATCAAAACCTGGCACAGCTATTGCTGATTTTGTTATATTTCCACCTCGATGGTCTGTTCAAGAACATACATTCCGACCACCATATTATCATCGTACGTAAAGATGAAATAAGAGAGAGAGTGAAAATAAACAAAAATTTCCTAATACTTTTGCATTAAAGGCAACTGTATGAGCGAATTTATGGGTATTATAACGGGGAAATATGAAGCGAAAGAAGAAGGTTTTCAAGCTGGTGGTGCAACACTTCACAGTTGTATGACACCACATGGTCCGGATGCTGATTGCTTTGCTAAAGCTACAAAAGATGAACTTAAACCGATGCGTATAGCTGAAGGTTCATTAGCATTCATGTTTGAATCATCGTTAAGTTTCGCATTAACAAAATGGAGTATGACAACGTGCCAACGTGTTGATCATGATTATTTCAAATGTTGGTCTTCATTAGTTAAACATTTTACTGGACCCAAATGAACTAAAAGCAAGTTTTGTTTTTAAATGAACTTTAATTGATTTTTACAAAAAAAATAATAAATAAATAAATTTATCAATTATGGGTTTGAGGAGGGTGATGTTACATCGGTTATTTTTCGAAGAGTTTCATGGCATAAATCATCTAATTCACCATCACCACCGAATTGAAGATTACGAATATCACATTCGAACACTTTTAAATCATAGACATGAACTTCACAGGCATTACGAATTGGAATTGGGTGCGTACTAACTGAATAGCCGAGATTGGTTAGAAAAGCTAAAAGAAATAAATCGTGAAAAATATATTTAGGTATAAACGAGCAAATTTTACTTTCAAGACCTTTCGTACGTTCCGTTTTATGCTCAACACCGAAAAAGGTCTTATATGGTCCATATTTTCTATGACATAAAATCGAAACAATAATTTATTTGAATGATATACAGAAATAACATACATTAAAACACGTGTTTGAGCCATCATTGAACAGAAATTATATATCAATGTTGAGACGACATAAGTTATAACAATATAATGATGGTTGCTAAGAAACAAAATATATTTTTTCATATAGATCAATGTAATACAACAAATATTGTCATTCATGATCTAGTGAAGATTCATGAGATTAACTTTTTTTAATTCAAGATATGAAAACATATTTTACTGATTGTTGCTGTTCTATCAAATATCGCCATCTATGAAAAAACTATAAGATGATCTACTCAAAATTAATATTTAAATTAATTGTAAAACACGTGTGTATTTATTGACTGCTTATAAAATTCGTAGATATCTTAAGTGTAGGCTAACAAGTTAAAATAAAGATATAACAACAAACATTGTTTGATTCATATTATTTATATACTTAGGTTATCTCTCATACTAAAAGTCCATAATGAAAAGAATAAAATAAAAAAAATGGAGCTTTTGGGTACTGTCGACTCACTTTTTATCTTCAATAGTGACAAAACTAATAACAGAACGCATGAATATTTGTAATTTAACTAGAAAAATCCGGAATCAAATTCGATCAATAATGTAGGCCAATTGTATTTACTGTCTGATTTTACGTGAATAAAAACTCTGTTTATGCGAGTTCAATGGTGCTGCTTGCATTTCTAAAAGTGAGGATCAATTTAAAAATACTGATAATTATCAACGAAACATAAAAGCTTTTGTTATTAAAAAATGATGTTTTCGATAGAATTTCATTTTGTAAACCGTATAGTTTTAATAACAATTGTCTAGTTATTTCAATGATGTTTTGTGTGTAGAATCGTGTTGATCGTAACTATAAATAAATGTGGAAACATCGGATTTAAATTCGAGTGTTATGTATACTTCAAAAATTAAAACTAATTAATGACAGATTGATTTGGATCAAACTATCTAAAAAACATAAAAAACACAGTGAATATACCTTTTCGCTTTTTGACGTACACATAGCACTCGGATTTAATCCGAGGTTTCGCATCTATTCTATAAGACATAGATCTCATCAAGATACATCCCTTGTCCTCAATTGCAAGGAGAAAATACAGGTGTACTAATTTAACATGGATTACACTGTGTGCGACCCTATCTGGTGGCCACCGACTCTACTCTCAGAGTGATATAATATCTTTAGAAATCACAGAAATTGAGTTCAGATTCGTGCTTAGCTTGGAAAACTGGGTAAGAAGAGCTATTTTTGAATGGATTTCCGTTTGTATCTAGCGGGATTACGATCGTAAGCAACTTCATGAATCTATAAGAGATATATGATAGATATAAGCATCAGTATTTTCCTAATAAATCACCAATATTAATAGCTATCGAGTTCGAGTTTTTACTTTTCGATAGTCTTTTTGTCTAGCTACAAAACTACTGGTCACCTGAGACATATCCATACAGTGCCAAATCTCAAATTAGTGCTAATTTTAAAATCTGCATGCCAAAATTTTTAAAAATTTCCAGCTCACAAAATTTAAAAAATTTTCGCAATCAGAAATGCACATAGGAACTAGAATTAACTTATCCATAGTTTTGCAAAATTGAATTCAATTATTTTAAAAATGGCCAGCCATTCAGGGAAACCCTACTGTTTGTGTGTAGACTACCGAGTAGATCAGATATCAGATATTTACCTACCAGTTCTATTACCCATGTAGCCGATAATGGATAGATAATGGAAAAATGACCAATTATTTTGCATTATTTGAAAAACACATGACCTAATGCATTATAATTAATTATTTTTTGACTTTTCGATGGATTTCAATGCATTATTCCAAACAATGGTGAAAATGAAGGATAACACCTAAATTTTCAATGCATTACAATGCATTATTTAGAATAATGCAGAAATTTCCAATAGTGCATTCGGCCTGTCCACGTAACGGTACACCTTCGTGATCGAATTTGACCTACTCAATTAAGCAAAACCAATATGACCATCGTGTAGAGCGTAGTCAATAACATAGAGAAGTGCATTTTTTATTTATATAGTTATTGGTTTTCTTGGTAAAATAAATGATGCGCAGGAGATGTATCTCATGGGTGAAAAAAGTCAAGTTTATTACTGATCCTTGTTTTTAGATTTTTCGTAAAGAATAATAAGCCTTTTTCAAAACCTCTCACATGAGGTAAACACACTTTCAATAGCCTATGAAATTATATGAAGAACAATAAGGGGCTAAGTTAAGGGGATAGATGTGCAGAACCACAGAGATACCATTATCGTGATTAGGATATCGATTTAATAGGATTATATAGATCTTGCGTAGCAAGTGCCGAATATGAAGTTTTCAATGCATTATAATGCATTAAATAGGTTGCATTATCATGTAATCGCATACATTGTATTTCTGTAGTAAAATAATGCATTGCAATGTCCATTATTTCCTAAAATCGACTACATGGGCTCCTGAAGCAAGCATGACTCGTATCAAATATTGGATTAATGAATATCCTATTATTATACAAGATTTAAAAATATTAAACAAACAACTATACAGTCAAGCGTATTTAGAAACATCGAACTTTGATGCCGATGATTTCTTTAATAATTCTCAAACAGTCATAAGTCTTTTTCTTGAAACAGGACCTGAAAAAGAAAATTGGTTTCATAAATTATCACTTGTCATACGCAAAAGTAAAGACGAACTTGAACGAGTTAATCGCGTGTTAATGGGCGCACCATCAGTGAATTTACCTGCCACTTCTCCAACGTTAAATATCATCGCACAAGTATACCTGGTACACAAATTCCACTACTAGGTGCACATACCGTTGAAATGCAGACAAATAAAGTCAATCTCGATGAGTATGTACATATAAACTCAGCTGAAACCATTGACCCACCTTATCCAGATACAACACCAACAGAAAGAAGCTACACAGGTAGCACTTCGCAGTCAAATAAACGAAGCTGATATTCTTAGTGATATGACACAAGCTAGTTCTATTGCACAAGAACTTCGGAGTGAAACCATAGAAAAAGATAAAAAAAGGGAATGATAAAGATTCCATAGCTTCGAATCGTACAGCATCAATAAACGAGAAGAAAATCTTGAACGTTTACTTGATTCACCGAGTTGCCTCGACGAAGCAGCTATAACATTGAAATTTCTTACACGTCGACTTTTTTGCGATATTTTTGAAGAGCCATTATTTAACGATTTAATGAAGGAAAAAATTGAACTCAAATTAAAAGAAATAGCTGTATGTAATAAAATTTTACAATTGACCGGAAAATAAGTGTTTATTTTAGGTTTGTGTACTTGAAGATCTTCATGTTGGAAAAATTGATTTAGCAAAAAACGTTTCCGGTTATACTCAAAGTTGAACGAACGCAATGGAATGCGAAAGGAATTTGGTTTAATTTATTCTTTTTCTATCGAGGTAGTCTCAAGTAAGAAAACAAATCTTGTTTTTTCAACATTCAGCATTTCTTCTAAGTTTGAATGATGATTGGCGTCATAAAGTTGTTTGCTTCTTCAAATATTTACATTTAACAGTGAGCTGCTATAAAACATTGTTATGCAAACAATGATTTGAAACTCACAATAGAACCTTTCAAATGCCACTACAAGTAGCAAAGTAAACATAAAGAATTTATATAGAAGAGATGTTAAGCTGTCTTTCACTTCTTGTCACATCACCTCATTAAATCGTTACTTTGTCACCTAAGATGTAGGCGTGGTTCAGGGTAGAATATATTATAAAAATATCAGAAATTTTTACAGTAAAATATTCATTGTCATGAGCTATTGAATTAACACCCATAGTTTCTTTTAGAATTACAATCCAAACTCGCCTAGTTCTTCAACCATTACTCAGTTATAGTCCTGATAATGATCAACCAATGTATGGTCAACATCAGTCAATTCAAACGGTTCATAAAGACGATAGAAAACTAGATAATGACGACCTTCTTCAACGACAAAAATTATCAGCGAAGGAACCTGAAATACCAGAAAAGTTTGTTTTTAACTTATTTTTATGAAAAATTTTCACATCTTCAACTTATATTGCAGTGGTGCTTCACGGAAACTAGGCACATTATTAACGAAATTGGCTACAAACAAACATTTCCAACGATTTGCTGCTTTAAAACCAGTTGTTGGTGTCATTGAAAAATTATCCAATGCAGAATTGGGTGCAAATGTTGAATTAACTAGTTTTAGCGGTATTATGACTGTAAGTCTCAAACTACATCTGGCATTTTTTTACTTTTCAAACACTTAGATTAACATTTCACCACCACCCAATGATCGTATATGGTGGTGATAAAAATATTTTTTCATTCAATAGAAATCACATTAACAATCTTCTATGTTTTCAAAGGATTGACTTTCCTGAAATGCCTGATCTTAGCCTCAAAGTAACGCCTGTATTTGGTGAAAACAAATATTCATATTCATTAATTCATGCTTTTCTCGAAGTACGTATTCGTGATGAACTCAAAGCAAACTTTTAAGTCAAAAGAAAAATTCATTGAAAAACAAAATTTATCTCAAAGCGTATGGCCGTACTTGCTTGTATGGACGATCAATTATTGTCGGTCTTTCGTGATTGGGTTATTGATGCTATGTATGTTGAGAGAAAAATATTGACAAATTTTATTATTATTATTTAATTTCTCTAGTTCAGTGCGGAAATAGCTTCAAAACCAGGAAATCCATTAATCGGCAGCTATAAAAGTCAAACTTCATTTCGAGACAAAATTCAAGATAATAAAGAATTAAATCATTCGGGTTCACCGTTATCCGACACAACGAAATCAAACTCAAAAGCGTCACCATGAATCGACGCAATAAAGACTTGATATATTATTTAAAGAAAGCGCAATTGCATTGCACAAATAATATTTGTTTTGTAATATTAACAATATGTACTATAAACCGAGAAAATGAAAGAAATATTAATTATTAATTGAATAAACCGAAAATTTATTTTGACTGTCTTTCGTAGTGAGTCACCCAGTTTTTATATAATAACTAATCTTTTTTTTTTGGAAAAAAAACTATGATTAAAAAGAAAGAATATTGGCATGCTACTCAAGCCGTTTGTTGATTAAAGATTTGCTCTTGAAATAAATTGTGTATTAGTGAAGGTTAAAACCTTTAAATCCAAAGAAAAAACTCCTTCGTGTCTTACGCTTTGGTATTCATTCAAGATATGAATAGAGGATAAGTAGAAGTTTACATCAATTGATAGATAAATCTACATGATTGGTCACCTTATAGTAAGATTCAAGTGTGGTTTTAAATCTATCATTAAGAGTTGTATTCGTTTGCATACGTGAGATCAGTACTGAAATTCGTATCGCCTTCAACATTTTTATCTCATGACAAGTAGAAAAAGAATTAAACATGCTTACTAAAAAGCAAACATGCCACTACTCCTCTTTGACATCTTTTTAAAAAAAATTCGCCTGAGGAGAGAACAAATGAGATGACGCTTTCTCCATCTTCAATGCCATGTGCATCATACAAGCAACAAGAAACGAGGAGTTGAATGTCTTAACAAATTTAGAATTTCTCAGGAAAGAAAATTTTTTATCGTTCCACATATTAGAATATCATCCAATGATAACACATAAATAAAAAAATAGCTGTAATACTGCAATGCTTTTTCAACATTATGTAAGAGAAAAATTTGACTAAATAAAAGCTATAAATTCTAGTCACGCAAAAGAAATATATATATATATATATATTTATATCAGGTATGGTTAAATACAATTCTTCCTTCTTCAGAGCACGAACAATGTTTACTTCTCTTCTTCCTTTTCCACCCTGTCTTTGGAATTAACATTCTAAGCAAAGAAACTCACTTCACATTTTCTCTCTCTATACTTATTTTTTTTAATGTAACAGTTGTTAGTTGAAAGTATGATGCATAAATGAATATGACCGGTTTTCCTGTAGACTGCCGATGAATTGTAAGGGAAAACAAAGAAGCTTCGACTACTTTGTTCAAAGTAGAAAAAACTCTTAAAACTAATGAAAATAAAAATCATCATAAACACAATACAATACAGGAGACAGTCATAAACAGAGTTGCTATTTGCTATATCTCTAGAACGATATTATCAAATATTAAATGTAATTTCATATAGACATACGCAAATAAATATTTGTTTGAAAAAAAGTAGGTACACGAACAAAAAAAAGTTGAAGCATTTGTTGCTAAGTCTCTTTTTTATTCTTGCTTTTATGAAGAACAGAAGAAAAAAAACCTCAGTTGCACGTATAAACTACCTGCTCGAGATCATATAAAATAAGTATACAGTTGACAGTTGCATCAATTCAAAACGTTTTTTTCTTTCTCTTGCTAAATAGATTCTTCATTTTTAGATTTTTTCAAATCAAAATGAGCCATCGTTCAAAAGTTTTAGCAAATAAATTTCAACGACACGAACACGAGCTACGTATCATAACGAATCCGATTGCAAACCCTCGCCAATATTTGCTCGAACATGAAGACTATGAAGCTCCATTAACAGCAAATGCACTCGTACCGAAGTCTAAATGGATCATCGTACGAAATAATATACATAAAATTCGTAGTTGGGGTACAATTGATACATCTCATGTCGACGAACGAATGAGAGATTGGTATATATTCTTTCAAATGAGACGTGAACTCAGACGTGCTCAAGCAGAAATCAATGAAATTGAACATCGACCAGATTTCAGGGCTGTTCGTTACTTTAATTTACCAACTGATTCCACACATGTTACACGTTTTGATGTTTCACATGTGAAATCAACCGATAGTGTGTACTATCCGGGTTTAGGCCATGATCCTATTGTTATACAATCATTACTTTTTTATTTTTCAAAAGAATGCGCTGTACCATATAGTAGTATATTTCGAACATTTTTATCCGATGTTTGTGCGATTATATATCGAGATCAACAGCAGCGACATCGAGCAGCAGTTTTTCGTAAATTAGTATTATCAATGACTGTAATTATTTCTCTTATTATTGCGCTTATGCTCGCCTCAATGATATTCGGCGCATCAAAAACAGCATCTAATTTAGCAGCCATGTACAAAAATGATCCTGACGGAGGATATGAATGGAGACAACCTAAAACAACTTTAGGAACAACTTTAGACTATTTATAGTTTTACTCAATTTAAAAAAAAATATTTTACAAAATAATTCAAAATGACATTTGAAATATATATTTACTTAAAGATTCCATATTAGTAAATAAATATTGAAAATGAATCTATAGACTAAACCAATCGGTATTCATAATGAAAGCTGTATGACAATATAATTCTATTCATCGATGAGTTTAGTAGTAAACTATAAGTGTAAATTAAACGGCAGGCATTACAAGTAAAATTTTCTTGTATGTGTTGTCTTTATAAAAAGAAACCTTTAACATCAAAATATTGATTTGTGTTTCGTAATAGTTAGAACAAAAAATGAATCTACATATGAAGTCTCAAGATTCTATTATACAATTAATTGAATGAACAAATCGGCACTTAAAGGGGATCAAATTTCGAAATCTTTTTCTTTCAAAAGTTGTTCGTATTTCCACTTACAAGGTACTTCATTTAGTGAATATTTTTTCTATTGAATTGAATTATCACACAATTCATAGAGTGATTCATTCTTTAAAAAAAAAAGTTGGGCAAATATAGAAAAATGAAAGCGATTAGAAAAAATGCGGAAACATCGGATTTGTATCCGATTGTTATGTGTACTGCAAAAACTGAGTCGACTTATATATGTTGTGAATAATACTGAGAAAAAAACTTGTTTCAAAAAAATCCCTGTACCCCCCCCCTTAGGGATGGTCTGGTCAATAATGGCAATTTTCTCGATAACTCAGCCATTTCTTGGCGGGTACATCTCATCTTCGAACTCGACTGAGATATTGAGGTGATCATTCTGTGTACAAAATTTCATGACAATCGAATCAGCCTTTCAGGAGCTATCGTGTAAACGGCCGGACACACTGACCGATTCTATAGTGTGCTCACTTTTGTTTTTTGAGTACACAAAAATGAAACATAATTACCGACAGATTGATTTTGATCAAACTATCTGAAAGAATCGACCAGCAGTGTCAGTATGCATCAGTTTTTCATAGTTTTTGAGAAGTGCAATATTGACGAAACGCTGGCTTCGGATTGCAAGTTTTTGAAAATGTAGGAATTAGCACAGGATCAAACTTTTTAAAAGTACAGGAAAGGGTGTAAAACATCAGAAAAAAATAGGATATTGAAAATTCGTTGTTTAGATTCGAATTAAACGTTGTTTTAAACATTTCCTGATTCAACTTAACATATGCACGAAATTTTTGTCAATATTTCATTTTAATTATTTCTTAAATTAAATTAAATGAGTCAGACACAATTAAATTCAATCGAAATATACGAGAAAAAATAGGAATATTTTTAAATATAGGAAATATAGGACGAATCCGAGGCCAGGGAAACGTCAAATGCACCATATTTACCTCTATAATATATCATCATTTAGAGCTCTTGACAAGTTCTATCTACTTCATAAAAACAACGTTAGTTCTATGGAAAATAAACACATTATACAGACGAAGTGTCGGTATACGTGAATTTTTCATAGTTTTCTGACACTGAGGTATTGAGGAAATTTCACACGCAGTATGTTTACCCCTATAATTTAGCATCATTTTGTAGCCCATGAAATTCTCTATCGAATGGTATATAATAGTTGAGTTTTCATTTTTACTTTGACAAAGATTTTGATTTGCGAAAATTGGAATAGGTCAATATTTGCATGGAAAATAATGATACTTCTTGTTGTAACTCAGTAAATCCTCGACGAATTATTTTCATCTTCGAACTCGACCGAGGTATTGATGAGATAATGCTGTGCAGAAAATTTCATAACAATTTGATCATCCTTTCAGGAGTTATCGTGTAAACGGCCGGACACACTGACCGATTCTATAGTGTACTCACCTTTTTTTTTTGAGTACGCAAAAAGATGTTTGATGTCAAGCGTATTATGTTTTTTAGACTGAACAACACAAAAAAGAGCCGTTGTAACTATCATAGACGCACGATGTACCTCCATTATTCTATTGCTCACGAACAACTATATGTTGTACGTAGTGTACTCTTGAATAAAAAAAGAACAAACTAATGAAGTCTTATTCAAACGGACCGAGAATAAAGGAAATGACATATTATTAGTATAGCGTTCAGTAACCGATGTAATATATAAAATTGACTTTTTATTGTATGCAATGAGATTTTTAATTTATTCTAAATGAATACGACGGCGTATTTGACGGGATGGCTACGGTCGAATAAATAGGAAAGTACGAAACAAACAAGTATAAATAAAAAAAGTATTGATCAAAACACATTTATCATTGTGTATTATTCTTTCCCATGAATATTCAAACTGTTTTGTACACATTTTAGCAGGTTTCTTCTTTTAACAATATTGAGTTGCATATCCTTCGATTTCCAGTAATACCTGTGCATAATCAGTATACGCATGTAAATGATAGCCATTTTATACATTTTTTTTTCTTAACTAACTTTCTAATAAAAATAGTTCGTTGGTTTTATTTTATTTATTACTTACGTCACCAGACATCCATCGCTCATTTGTTAATGGTTTCTTGAGAATAATTATTCTACAAACTACTTTCATTGATGCTCATAATAATAATAATATTTAAAAAAGCTTTTTTTTCCGAGTGGACAATTTTCTCTTTTCTTTTCATTACTTATCTCGAAAGAAAAGAACGAGCAAGGTATTTGTACTGTCACATCGATTTCTGTTGAATACATTCGTTTCCTCAGTTTGGTAAGCTACTTATTCACTTATAAATAATGTTTCTTCACTTCGTCTGTTTCTTTCTCTCTTGACTCCCGGTCTAATAGCATGTCACATAAGGATTCATTTACCTGATAAATAATGTGTCAATACAAACGGATACTGCCTTGAGCCGTACACACATGATTTTCGATATTTGACAAATTATATATTTCAGCTTTTCTTTTTTACTTACCTCTCTCTAGTGTTAGATATTTTGAAATATAAAGCCTTGCTATTTGACATCGTCAATTACACAAATCAATAGTTAAGTTTCGATAGGTAAGAAATGAAAAGAAGCCACCAAACCATTTCATATTAAGCCTCCGTTATTCATTTCTTTTTCTCGTGTGTGTAGGCGATATTATTTTCATTCTTGCATTAATAATAATAGCTTTTTCTTTCTATCGTTATTTAATCCAAAAAACACAAAACAAAAAAAAAGTAAATCGTTCACTAACATTGACATTTATTTAGTATGCATTTAAACTACTAAGCGAAGATTAGTACGTTAATAAATTCGTAAAACGAGAAAGATTTCTTCTACTTCAAATTAATCGTTTCTCGGATCAGAACCTTCGTAATCCATATATATTAAATATTCCATTTTAATAAATTTACATCTAACCATTCTTATTCAGTCAAAATGGCTCTCTGTATATTCAACATGTATGTCGATTAAAATACATTTTTCATTTTACCTTTATGTCGTCTTTTTTCTTTTGTATTCATGCGACCTTCCCCATATGCATAATAATATTGTATTTGTATATATTAGTACTTACAGATACAATCACCATTGATAAAATTTAAATGTCTCAATCACTGCGAACTCGACTGCTACGACAACAAAAAAATGAACAAGAAATTCGCGTAATTACAAATCCATCTGATGTCAATGATTCTGCAAACATTCCACTTGTACATCGTAGTTCAAAAGTTAAAACCTCATCAGCGACTAGCCGCCAACGACGCGATGTAGATCCAGACTATGAAGCTCCGCTTACTTCATACACCTTGTCTCCTAATTCTAATTGGCTAATTGTACGTCGTAACTTACATCGTATACGTTTTATGGGTTTTAATGAACGTGGTCGTGATAATAACGTGCCAGATTTCTACTTAGGCTTACAAATGAAACGTGAACTTAAACGTGCTCAAGAAGAAATAAAAAATATCGACCAAGAAGAAAATTTTCATGCTGTTAAACAATTCGTTCTGGCTATTGATAATAGACGTATTAAAACCTACGATACAAGTTTTGTTAAACCGGAAGATGCACTCGTCTATGATCGTCTTGGCGATGAACCATTAGCATTACAAAATTTACTTTACTATTTCAGTAAACAAGACGTACCACATGGAACACTTTTTTGGGAATTCCTAAATGAAGTTAATCGTGTATTGAATATGCAAAGAAAACGGACTGTTCTTGTGCAAAGACTGAGAAAATTAGCTTTGACATTGGCTGTTATTTGCTATTGTATTATTGGACTTATGCTTCTCTTATTAATTATTAGTTTAATAATAACAACAGCAAAGATGAATGATCCAGAAGTTCAATGGATGCAGCCAAATGTTAACAACGATTTGGCAAATTCGTTATCTTTATGATTATTTCTAAAATAAAACACAGCATTATTATTGAAATTTTCATAAGTGACATCTGATTTATTTTTTGTATATTTATTTATTTTTTCATATTTTTTAATATGTCAATTGCTAGTATCTATGTTTGTGATCTATTATTCTTTAATGTATTTCAACAATTCATTCTATATTAAAGCAGTTTAGAGATTCATAGACTTGTCTTTGATTATTTCAGTCGAATTTCGTCTTCTATACTCTGCATTTTTAAGCTTGCATTTTCAAATGGTAATGTATATAGATGATATTTCAAAATCCTATCAATGATACGCTTAGTCGATGCGCGACACAGGCGAATAGAGCATAATATTTTAAAATAAACATTGTTCTCTTTCTAAAGAATAAATCGTCGATGATTGTTGATGTGATATGTTCGTATTATGCATGACTGCGTGTTACCGTTTTTATACCTATTGGTAACAAACTATGCATGTATATGTCATGCTATCAAAAAGTATAATCATTTTTTCTTTACGAGCTATGAAGTGTGCGCTTGAAAATTGCCTTCCACGTCTATTCGAGGAACATAATTGAAACTATTCATACTGTGAACGGCAGGAAATAGAAAATTTCAAGATTTTGAATATTTTATCACGTTTATAGTAAATATTAATATGTATGACTTTACAGTGAGAAAAATTCTTGTTTTTATCAAAGACATTTTATCAATACATTTATAATTTAAAAAGGGCTCAAATCGTTGTGATAGTATGTTTTTTTTTATACACATCACTCACTTCAAGGTCATACATTCTAGAGTAATAAAACTCGCACCTTTTTAGTCTCACTATTCTACGGCCACCTGTCGAAAGAAATTTCTAATCTTTTTAACCAAGGTATAAAAATGTACTTCAAGACATTTACATTCTAGTCAGCAACATGCTATTAAACAGTAAAACTTTCTTCAGTTGAAAAACTTTACTGATAAATTTGAACTGCTGATCTCTAGGATTTTATCTTCTCGAATGATGAATATCTATTTTTCCCATTACAAACACGCATCATGTAAGATAATAACCAAAAAGCTGGAACAAAGTCAACCTGATCTTCGAAGATGATCTGATTATTTCAAACTCTTGGAATTGATATATCAATGAATATCAGATAAACAATAAATTCAATAAACTTTTGTAGGTTAGTGTTTGACGAATTTTTTTGTTTTTTCCTTAAATTTATAAAGCTTAAAAAAATTCAATTAGATATTCAAATACTATATAAAAATCAATCTCTTAAAATATTTTGTTTCAAATCCCTGCCTGCGAAAGGAATATGTCTAGCTTTTCCAATAGATGTCTCTAACAATCATGATTTCGTCTGCGTAGTTTATGATTTGTCTGCAACGATCAGAAAACAAAAAAAAAGATTGGACTTATTCATTCATGACTCAGATTTTTTCATTTCCTTCATAATTCGCTATGTCGTTTTCTGCTGCAAACGAAGTTTATAGGCAGTTTTACGATAAATATTTTGATGCAATAACTTGCAATACCTTTCTGCTGTAATACTCACCAATATCACCTTTACGTTTAGATACCGAAACATATTTGTTTTTAAAATGTCAAAACGCGGTACACAAAGAACTCGTGGAAATTTAAAAGTAAGTAACTTTCTTCTTTGAACTTTATATTCATGTGTGAATATTTTCCAGCCTGCAAGCAGCACAAAAGCGACTGCTACGTTGTTGACTCATGGGATATCCCCGTTTGCATTATTTTCTGGTAAATGTTTACTTATAAAAATCCTTAAAAAAAAGTTAAGATTACATATTTTACTTCAATAGGAGAATTGCCTATGACAAATGGTATCGATGAATATGGTATTGATAATGATATCGATCCAGAATTACGTGTCATACTACGTAAATTAACTAAAAAAGATTCAACAACAAAAATTCGAGTAAAACAAAAAGAAAGAGATAAATATATACGTATGTTTAAATGTCAATTTCTTTTTTTTCTGCAAAGGCTTTCGATGAATTACGTGATTATTGTGATGCTAAAGAATCTGACGATAAAATTCGAGTTATTCTTCCATTTTTTGTTTTTCATTATCGTAAATGGTCAACGGTAAAACTTCAGATCAATCGTTTTGTTCTTTTTTTGTATAAATCTAGTTCTTCGTAGGATTCAGATCAACGTGTTCGTGATGAATGTCAATCGACTTTTGATACAATAGGAATGCGTATGAAGAAGAATCTGCTACCACATTTAAAAACTATCTTACCCATTTGGTTAATGGCACAATGTGATTCATATGCACCAGCAGCATCGAAAGCTAAATTTCTCTATACTAAATTATTTACTGGACAAAACAAACAAGCAGAAGTTGTTTATTTCGCACGAAACGAAATAATGTCAACATTAACGGATGAAATAAATCAATGTTCAGATGTTCTAAAAGACAAGTAAGCATGAGAAAAATCGAGATAACATGATGCTAGAATGATAAAGTTTGTTTTTGTTTTTAGAAAAGAAAATGAAATGGAAACCGACGATGCACATGAACGACGTCTAACAGAAGTTCTTCTAGCTCTTGGCTTATTTCTTAATTATTTAGAAGCTAATAAACGTTCAGATCTAACAAGCCAATTGAAGATAATATTTGACTCTGGGAAATTTTGGAAGTTAGATAAAATTAAATCCATCCAAGTAAATATTTTTCATTGTGCAAAACAAATAATAGGTTTCGTTTGTAGATTCGAAGTTCATTTTATCGTTGTCTTTATGAATTAATCAATCTCATACCTGATGTTATACGAGAATATAAAACCAAAATTATTCCCCTTGTTTTCTATGCTATCAATGAAACCGAGCCAAAATTGTGTCCATTAATATGGGATTGTTTAATACTTTGTTTGGATACATTTGATGATTGTTGGTTATTAGTAAATCACCAAAAAGCATTTTTACCGAAACTATATGCTTTTCTACGAAATGCCTGTCATGGAAATGTATTCGGTGTAAAAGATTGTTTGTTACCTTTGATTCAAAAAATACCGTCGACTATTATTGGAGAAGATACAAATAATCATTTTATTGAGAATTATTTTCAAGCTATGGAAGAAGGGTAGGTGAAGTTGTAGATGAAATTTTTTAGGAAAATCGATTTCCTTTTTCTTCTAGGATTTTATCAATAAAAGGACGACAACAAATGAATAATGTCAGTTCATTACTAAAAGCTTATATGGATTGTTTACTACATATATTAGAAAATCATTCAACAGATCAACTTGTTTTTCTTAACGACAGAGTAAGAAGATGAAAAAAAAGAAAATATTCATAAACAAAACTTTAATTTCTAGTTACTTCCATTAATCCGGCGATTACTTACTGATAAAGATTGTTCGATTCGAAATGTTTATGCTCGGCAATATTTTCATTTCTTAAATTCGATTCAATCATTTCGTTTGTATAGTGATCATTTAAATAGTGTTCTTTCATTATTTCGTGATTTAATAAATCCAACAGCAACAACAACAACAAACGAATCAATCGATTTAAAATATATTTTTCAACAATCTACATTACTTTTTGAGACAATTCTTTCTCCGCCAAAATTGAAAAATCTACGTTTTGCAGCAACAACAACATCCTTCTCAGACATTTCCTCGGTTGATTCTACAACATTTCAAGCTGAAGATGACGATGATGACAACATAGATAATAATAATCAAAAAGAACATTATCTAGTTCAATTTACTACTGATTTATGTCGATATTGTTTTCAATTTTGTACTGAAAATCCGAATCAATCATCATTCGAACATAGTTTAAATTTATTCACACGTCTTTTAAATTCCTCAATGTCAAATGACGTTGAAATTATTAAAAAATTAATCCATACAAACGATAATATAAATAGTATACCTGACGTATTCTATTTAGATTATGCTAGACCATTGATGAAAATCGCTATTGAACAACATTTTTCGCTGGATGATATTCTTGAATTGACTATTCAAATTCTCTATGTATTTGATTCATCAGAGGTTGTCGTTGAACGCGTTCTAGCCGATTTAATAAAAGTAAGAAACAAATATTCATTCATTTGGTGAGAACTAGACTAGAAATTATGGGAAAAAATCTTATTTTTTAGCTTGAATCATCCCGTCGATTTTATTTTTTATTGGCTTCAATTGTTTGCCGCTATGAATCGTCACCATCATTTCATACATGGTAACTATAATCTACTAAAATTTTCTCTTTAGCTTTTGTGCTTTTTTTAAAATACTCAGGCTTCAAGCTCACGGTGTCCTCGAACAGTTGTTAAACATGACAGCCAGTGTAACAAAAACAAGTGATAATAATGATTTAAATTTTCCTGTTTCAACAGAAGAATTTCAATTATTATCTTCTTTACTTTGTTCATCGAAACCAGCTCAATTTCTTACTTCGATACAACAAGAACAAATTGTCTATCTGGCTTGTCGGTTACTAGAACAGCAAGCACCTTCATTAAATGAAACCGATACACACAACGATCTTATTCAAAGTATTGATCATGTCGCTAAACATCTATTTCAAAATATTGATAAAACCTATGAGAATCAATCAACAAAAAATCTCTTTCAACTTTATATTCAAAACGATATAATTAATCTAATACGTAAAAATTCTGATTTAAGTCTTCATCAACGTTCAATATGGTCAATAGCTCTTAAACAGTCAGTTACAACTCGAAATGAGCTTTACAATCAATTGATTAATTTTATTCTTTCATATATTCCAACACAATCCGATAATGATCTATTCATTGATATGATTATAACGATATTTCAAGATGAAAATTTATTATCAAAAAAACTTTATACAAAATTATTTGAACGTATTTCATTGGATAAAGATTTTATTTGTGAATCATGGATCTTTGGTATCTATCATGGTTGGCTTTTACCTGATCAAACTATAGAAATAAAAATTGAAAATAAAGCTTTTGCGGAATACGAACGTTTAATCGATGTTCAATTTTTATCGTTATTAGTCATTCGTCAATATGAATTAAATTCCTATTTATGGTCGAACGATGATCTAATTCGAAATTTAATACTTAATTATTATCTATTTCAATATCGTTGTATTGATACACAACAAATTTATAGATTATTCGAACGTTTATTTCATTTATCAACATTTAATATAGAATTTAATCTTATTGAAAAATCTTTTCTATCAAATGAATTTTATTCCGAATTAATTTACTATCACATTTACTGTCAAATAAAAGACAAACATTTGAATATTAATCAACGAGATGATTCGATTCAATACACATTTATATTAAATAATAATGATGAATTAAATTCTCATTTAATTTTAACATCATTCTTTCGAGAGTCACAAGCGAAATTAATTATTCCTTATCTAATTGAACAATGTCAAGATGAACGGCGCTCGGAATTAACATTAGCCGCGTTAAATCAATCATTATTGCGTATGAATAAATTAGGAATAATTTTAGATGAACATTATCTAAATAATATATTAAATATTTTACTGAAATTTAATGTATCATCGAAAGAAATTTTACAATTAATACAATTATGGAATACGCTATTAAATCATGGAAGTTTTATTGAATCATTGAAACACTCACATTGGGATAATGTTTTATGTTTAATAAGTAATCTATTTCAAAATTTAACCAATATTCAACAACAAATCAATCAACAATTTACATTAAGGACTGAATTTTTGTTTATTCATGCGTCGAATCTATTGGCAACGATTGGAAAACTTCTAACCAATAATAATAGATCGGATGAAACTGATGAATTTAGGAAACAATTATACGATGAATGGTTATTGCTTTATAGCAAAGAAATTTATCAAGGATTATTACCACTTTATATTGCATTACCCAGTGAGTATTGGTATGATTTAATTTTAATTTTATTTGACAATATTTTTCTAGGTGCTCTAAACGAATTTTCCGCATTTTATGTGACAAACGAAATGGTAAAATCTATATGTTGTGCAATTTGCACTATTCCAATTGATTATCTTCTTTCGAATAATCTCAAACCATTATTTCATTCCGAAGATCATCAATCAAAATTGCCCGAGTCTATTCAAACAGTATTTAATCATCTATATCGTTTACTTTGTTTAACATCAAATCGTCCATTACAATTTTCATCGTTTCATTTATTAAATCGACTTCTCGTACATCTATCTCCGGCGCTTATTCTTACAACAAATAATAATGAAGCGATTGCTGAAGATGATAAGACATGTCGTCTACCTGGTTCAATGCTTGAAGCTTTAGAACGTACCGAAAATACAATAAAACAATTATTGAATGAAAATGATATTGCCGAAGAACATCTATTAGACGATAATGATCATGAAATTATTTCCCAGTCATCCTCAACAACAGTAAAATCTGATAAGGAACATGTTATTATTGGTGAATTATTAAATTATAAATTATTACTTAATTTAATTAGTTGTTATAAATTAGTCGAAGAACGTTATACCTATAAATTAATGTTACAAGAAAAAAAATTAGTCGATCGTTTTCTTTCGATTGTACTTGGATTAATTCCTGCTAATCCTGTTTATAACGATCCTTTATCTATGCAAGTATCATGTATAACAAAAAAATTAACTCATTCTAAGTCAATGTTTGAAAATGATGTTCAACTGAGTCCAAACAGTAAGTATAGATTTTCAAAGAGTTTGCTTGGTCGACCAATGTACCAATGAAATGAGTCTATACTTTTGAAATTCCTTCATGTCAGTTTTGTCTTTCGTGCTGAGAAATATGTAATGTGAAAAAATGTTGAATAGATAACAAAGCTATTTGTAAGGAAGAATCTATTCTATTTAATCAAAAGAGAATGAGTCGTGATGATTGAAAATGATGTTTTAATATTTCAGTAGACGGGAAACACTTGTACTTCAATTGATAGTTGACTCTAGTGGCGTAGTAAGTAACTTGTCAAAGGAGCGGTTCGTTTCTGTGCCATACGGGGTTTGTGCTTCGATCGCTGCCGCATGATAACATTTATAACAATCAATATCGCCTGTACTGTCTTTGTTATCTTGTTTTTTTTTCTCGTCGCATATCCATATGTATGTATAATACTATTCCAGAGTTTCGAAAACAATCGCTTCTTCCAACGATATAACTTCGTTGTTAAAGTCCAACAGAGAAATTTATGAAACTATTTTCTAGGCGATTTATATTCGTCATACACAATTCCACATTTGGCCTGTTCGGTTTATTTTCAATGTCTAAGTTCGATTCCGGCTCTTGTTCGTGAATGGTATCATAATCAAGCAAAACGCATACGCGATGCTGTTGATCGTGTGACACAAAAATATGTTAGTCCAATATTAATTCAACGAGAACTCGATGCAGCATCAGCATTAAAAGATATAAGTGTCGGTGAAGCCGGTTTATTTAATGTTAAAAAACATTCAAATACACGTGAAATAACAGCTATTTATAATATTGAAACATCACGTGTAGAAATCTGCATACGTTTACCAGCGAACTATCCATTAAATTATGCTAATATTGAATGTACACATCATGTTGGATTTACCAAGGATCAATGGAATAAATGGATGCTCCAATTGAAAACAAATTTAATGCAAAATGTAAATAAAAAGAAAAATTTGTAAAAAAAAAAAAATCTTTTCTCATTTTTCACAATTCTATTTAGAACGGTGACATTTCCGATGGTTTACTTATTTGGAAACAGAATATTGACAAAACAATGCAAGGCATCGAAGAATGCTCAATTTGCTATTGTATTTTACATACAAATAATGAACTACCAAAACGAACCTGTCGAACATGTAAAAAGAAATTTCATGACGCCTGCTTGGTAAGTTTAAAACGCACACACGGAGTTTTCTAATTTATTTTTTGCTTCTCTCTAGTTTCGGTGGTTCCGTTCATCAAACAAATCCACATGTCCGCATTGTCGAGCGAACTTTTGAATTTTTTTTTCGCGTTGTTTTTAACTCGTTTTGTTTTTGTTTTGACATAAATGTGTTATATTGGATAAACTATCTTGAAACGAATATTCTTCAGTTATAGATTATTGATGCCAGTAAATCTAGCTAAAGAATCGGCAGCCAATGCTGCAGTCGATGAACAGATTCATAATGTAGGTAGAATTAGTAAACAAAATAAATATATGTGTTCAATAAAATAAATATTCGTTTTTAGGATATTCACATCATTGGCGTTGGATCAGGTTCAACCATTGTTCCAGCAGTGAAAAGAATTGGTATGATTTTGATAAATAGATATTAGTTTTTGTTTTGATATTTATAATTTATTTATTTGAAATTTCTAGCGGAAATCGTGCATAAGAACAATCTTGACTTAATTTGTGTTCCGACTTCATTACAAGTTTGTGTTAAACTTGACGATCTTTTTCATAGATAATGCAAAAAACGGGAGACAGTCACTTGCTCGCGGACGGTTGCTCACCGGATAGTTGCTCGTATATACACTTGCTCGCGATGCTAGTCGTTGCGAGCAAGTGAATTTACGAGCAACTATCCGCGCGTAACTGTCCGGCGAGCAAGTGTCCTGCGAGCAACTGACCTAAACCTGCAAAAAGCATTGACTATTCTCTCTACTATTGAAATTTATGAGAAAGCTATGATATTACACTAGTTCTAAGAAAACAAAAAACAAAGACCTATAGGAATAAGAGAACTATATAGTATAAGGTTTTTGCTTCTTTTTAGGCACGCGAACTTATTCTTTCTAATGGTTTGAAATTAGGTAGTCTTGCTGAGTATCAAGAAGTAAGTCGTCTGAAGAGTTTTTTTCTTTATTTAATTTTAATTATTATATTCAAGCTCGATCTTGCTATTGATGGTGCTGATGAAGTAGATGAGCAATTCAATTGTATCAAAGGTGGTGGTGGGTGTCAAACACAAGAAAAACTTGTTGCCGTATGCGCAAAGCGATTTATTGTTGTTGCTGATGAAAAGTAAAAATCGATGAAATGATTGAAATGAACCTTTTTTGTTTTGTATAGAAAATGGTCACCCTGTTTAGGTACAAAATGGACAAAAGGTATTCCAATTGAAGTCATTCCAGTTGCGTATAAACTTACTAAGAAAGAAATTGAAAAACAACTTGGTGGTGAAGTTGTTGTTCGTGAAGGAACAGAAAAATTAGTAGATTTCTTAATAATTGAAGTTTTACATTGATAACCAAAACAAAATTTTAGGGTCCAGTATTAACTGACCAAGGAAATTTCATTCTCGATTGGAAGTTTGATCCGTTGAAAATTGTGAATTGGTTTGATGTTAATCGAACATTAAAATTAGTTCCTGGTAAAATTAATCAATTCGTATTGTCACCATGAATTCTATCTGATTGTTCTATATTTTATAGGTGTGGTTGAAACCGGTTTATTCGTGAATATGATCTATAAAGGATATTTTGGTAACAGTGATGGCAAAGTTGAGATTAGAACAAATCCTACAATGTCTTCATAATGATTTCTTTTTTCTGTATTCTTTTCTTTCAGCTCATTTTGTTTTGGTTTTGAATCTCTGCTAACTTTTTAGTTTTCAGATACGATCTTAGCTGTTTGTAATGACTGAACATCATCTTTTAAATTCTCCAACAGATGGAATAACTGCTGTTCATTTTTCTCCTAATAATCAAAGTCAATTTTTAATCGCTTCGTCATGGGATTGTGGTGTTCGGTAAATAAATTGAAATTTACTAAATTTGATATCCGGATGGGAAACTGTTGTACTGAAATTATTTTTGTTTAGTTTATATGATGTTAATCAACATACATTTCGTCAAATGTACAAACATGCTGGTCCTGTACTAGATTGTTGTTTTGCGGTATGATTTTACAAGTTCGAAGATAAATATTTCTATGCAAATGTTTGCTTAGGATTCATCAAGAACATTTAGCGGTGGTTTAGATCGTATTTTAAAAACGTATGATTTCAATGCTCAAAAAGGTAGCTATGAATTATGTTTATTAATTAGCTAAAGAAAAATCTCAATTTTTCCAGAAACTATAATGGGACATCATGATAATGCGATACGCAGTGTACATTATTCACCTGAATTCAATTTCGTCATAACTGGCTCATGGGATTCAACTGTTAAATTTTGGGATTCACGTGCACCCAATTGTCTTGGTTCTTGTTCACTGCCTGATAAAGTATATATATATATTTCGTGAATTTTTTTTCTCCAGATACTATCTTTTTTCTCCATAGATCTATACATTAGATAGTGTAGGTGAAATACTTGTTGTTGGAACAGCACAACGTAAAATATCCATTTGGGATTTACGTAAAATCAATAGTCAAAGTCCACTCGAAAATCGAGAATCAAATTTAAAATATCAAACACGTTGTATTCGGTGCTTTCCAAATAAACAAGGATATGTTCTTAGTTCAATTGAAGGTTTTCATTTGACACAAACTTCTTTTTTCGATTAAAAAACCAAGAGTTTTTTCGATGTAGGCCGAGTTGCTGTAGAATTTTTTGATCCAAATCCTGAAGTTCAAAAGAAAAAATATGCATTTAAATGTCATCGTTCAAAAGACAACGGAATTGAAAATATCTTTCCTGTCAATGCTATTGCTTTTCATAAACAATATGGAACATTTGCAACTGGTGGTTCCGATGCATATGTGAATATGTGGGATGGAGCAAATAAAAAACGTTTATGTCAATTCCATCAGTAAAACTCTTTTTTTTCATTGAATTTTCGAAAACCGAGCGTTCTTTTCTTCTTCGATGTTGTTTTAGGTATCCAGCTGGTATAACAAGTTTGGCATTTTCATCCGAAGGAAATATGCTTGCTATTGCATCGTCATATAACTATGAATATGGTGCTGATCTACAATTGGCACCGAGTGATGTTTCGAAAAATATAATATTTATTCGACGTGTTTCTGATTTAGAAACAAAACCTAAATGAAAAATACAAAAATAGATAATCTTCTTTTTTGTTTTTCTTTTGTTGTTCTGTGTCTTGTTGTTGATATTGTTAGGAAAAAAAAACAAAGAATTGTGAATATATTATTCTTTAGATGGTTGACGAAACACTTTTCGATTATCTTCATATGTCGATCGTTGAGCATTATAATAATGAAAACGAAAATGATGTAGAAACAGCATCGGCATATCTATCACAAATAGGTAAATAAGACAATTATTTTCTTTTACTCGCTGTGATTTCCTGTTTTGTTTTTCGCTGAAAAGGTTACAGAGTGGGCTATTCGCTTGGCGAAAGATTATCAAAAGAAAATGCACGTTATCGTGATGAATTAGATACAGTAAAATATCTTTGTAAAGAACTATGGATATGTTTATTTAAAAGACAAGTGGATAATCTACGAACAAATCATCAAGGAGTGTACGTAATTCATGATGGTCGATTTCGTTTATTACAACAAACGCTCACAACGATGAATAAGCCTATTGACAGTAATAATCGATTGCATACATTATATATAGCATATTCAAATGGGCTACTACGAGGAATATTAACTAATATGGGTTATCCGTGTCGTGTTACTGCTGAAATTGTGGATTTCGGCGTCAGATTTCAAATTGAAGTAAATCCAGTAGTTGGGCAAAAATGAATCGACACGTTTTCTTCGTTTATGATTAATGTCTTTTTGTAATCCAATCATTGCTAGTTAAATCTGTAATTATTTTTATTAAATATAATAGAACACATGAATATTTTTACTAAATGTATTATGCTTGAAAAAAGAAAAACATCGTTAACTCTATCAAGGTTGATGAGAATCATTCCAAGACTGGTATTAGAATGATCGGTTATGTTTAAGTAAAATCAAACGTCTGTTCCATCACTACTTTTCAAACGTTTTCACTTGGCATTTACATTGACGGGATTGTTGTACATTGTTTACTTTTGAATGAAATATTACTAGTAATGAAATGTTGACTCACGGAAACGTTTATTGTCATGGATGATCGCTTTTATTCATTCAGAGAGAATAAAGTTTTCTGTTTCGAATGAAGTATACACACATATTTTGGACGTTTACCTTTAGAGAGAATGAATAGATTTTTTCTCATTAGATTTTACTCGAACAATCCGTATTAGAATAATAACGACGAAAAAAGAGTGTGAATGTCTGAATCACCGCCAGTCAGAAGTATGAACCCACGCTCACACCCAAAAATATCTAATACTATTGTATTAGATATTTTTGAAAGTAATGAAAGAAAGCTGAGATTAGATGCGTTCCGAGAATATCCCCAGAAACTCGATTAAGTGCTAGGGAACCAAACCTAGCAGATATAACAGATATATAGCATATAGGGGGTCTAGGAAGTCTAGGGAGTACAGGAGTTATAGGAGATTGATAAACAACGAGCAAGGCTCAAAAAATAAATATTGATATCAGTAATATCTGTGAAAGAAAACTTGATTTTAATTGAGTTATAATTAAATAAAATTAAGAGACGAAAGAGAAAAAAGTCTCCTATAACTTCTGTACCCCCTAGATCCCCCTATACGCTGTATATCTGCTAGATTTGGTTCCCTAACACTCAATCGAGTTTCCGGGGATATTCTCCGAACGCATCATATAGAAGCTGATGTTTTTATCCTGTGCTAGTGTAACAAACTACCAGTAATATATAGTCACATTAAGTGTTGATCATAGCTAGCAAACATTATTTCTTAAGGAAATATATGTGACTAGCTCTATTTTGTTGGCGGAAATACTCATTTAAAGAACATGATTACTTCTCTGCGACATTTGATATATTTTGTTTGTTCTTCATATACATGTGACTTTAGTGATTCTGATGTATTTTTATAAACATTATGATCTCCCATCCCATATAATAATTATGATTTGAAATCAATTATATTATTTACGTTTTTTGTGCAAATTTTGAAGATGTATAATAACGATTTGTTTTGTCGTTCAACATTTATCTATTTAGCTACTAAATTATAAACACATTTAGTTAAAAATATCTTGGTTATGTTTTGTTTTCATTCACGCTCTGTTGATTGAAACGAAATTTTCTAGATTGACAAATCAATATAAAATATTAAAAAAATGGCTCACTTTTATATCAAATAATAGTTATTAAGATAAATATTGTTTTCATTTATTCAAGAATGTAACAAATAAGAAAGTAATGCAATAAAAAATAGAGTGGAAATAATATCTCTGATAAAAACTATTTAAAGGTGACGATAGTTATTTAGAGACACAGTTCCATAGCGAATATAAATATCTCACGGAGAATAATGAAAGTTACTTATGATTTTGAGTAGATGAAAAAATTGGCTACAATGTAAATGAATGATATTGAAGGTGACTCTTTTAGTTATAAAAATGTTCTTAAATAAAATGTCTCATGTTGTTTTTTTCAATATGTTTGACTAAAAATGGGATGAAAATCGATTAATAGCTTTAGATATTTTGAAATATATTTAATAAGAAAATTTCATAAAATTTAGTTAGCATAATTATGCTGTCTTTCGGTTGCAATGTTACCTATCACATTCTTTGATGGTTTTTTCTCTCCCGTGTCTATCTCCATTTTTTAGACGTATCCCATTTGAAATAAAAGAAACGTCATCGGTTTGCCATGAGATATGCGAGCGAGAGAGAATGCTTAAAAAAGTGTATAAAAGCATATTATTTTTTTGTCGTCGTCGTTGGTTTTGCTTTATTTTCTGATGTTTTTTTGGTTCTTGTTCACTCCAGTTAGAGATAAAATTTGAAATGGCATTAAAAAAAGGGAAATGTGAGGATTATTAACCAACGCCCGATATTTTTGTCGCTTGGATTAACATATAGCTCTTGAAGATCTTCCGACACCATAAGCAACGCTCATTTTAGAGGCTCTTCTTTGAACGCTAGATATACGCTGAGTGGTAGAAACTTCGTTTGTTTGAATTCTAGATAAATTTCTTTGACTTGCCATAGACATATTCTGTGGATTACTTCACAGTGAAGACGAGTTCGTCGAAGCTCTAATTGATCAAGTGTGTTACTTTTATTCTTTTTTTTAATGAAATAAGTGAAACTCAAAGAAATTTGAATTCAATGAAATACTATAGTTTCAAATGAAGCAAAATGTATGTTATTGCTGTTCAACTGGTTTTTGTTTATTTGTTTTCTCAAACAATTCTGCAGCATTGCTAATAATTGTTAATTACTGTTTCAAAAATATCAAATCGATAAAAAACAAGTTAATGAGAAAGATAAATAAATATATATGAGAATACATTCAATGAATGGCTTTAAAGAACGAGAGAAATCAATAAATTGATCAAATATGTTTGATCGTATAAATATGCGTGTATGTCAAAATTCGCCATAGATTTTTAGACAAACACCCACACCCACTTTTTTCTAGAAGGCGTATAATTGGAAATGACCAGTGATCCATGTGTGGTCACCGTACAAATACCAATGAACGAAATAAGGCGAATTAAATCTTCCAGCTAGTTTGAAAATTTTAAATGAATTAAGGAATACAGTGTCATCTATCACACATGTGTGAAAATTTTTAATTACAAATAAAGTCAATTTTGAACAGCCGATCTGAAATCATCCGTGAAGACTATTTTATTCTATATTGTAATCATTATAAAATCACGTAAGACTAGTCAAATGCGAACTATTCTTTCTCATCATTCGTTCCGAATTTACTATAAATACTTGATTTTTTATACTTCGACTGTTTCAAAATTAAATCTATTCTTTCGTTCAGCAGTTGTTCAAATGACGTCATCAATCGATAACAATCGATGTAAACTATTAGTACTTGATCTAGATATCAACAAAATAACTATTGAAGCTTTACGTACATTTTTCTTATCATACGGTCCAGTTGAATGGATTGAAACATTTGCCGAATCAAATTCAGCTATTATTTATTTCGTCAGTTATCTTATTGTTGATCGTCTTATTAGTTTACGTACTTGCGTCATTGATCAAAATACTGTTCGATTACGTCGTTGTCGTTTGGATCAAACTAATTGGTATATTGATTCGCAAACTTTACTGATCAAATTAACACCATCAACTTATTCGAATAGTATATTAACCGAATCAACTTTGCGCTATTGTTTTCGAGATTATCAATTACATATTATTAAAATTGATATAATCAACGAAAATCAAGCATTGATTTGTTTGTCGCATTATGATTATGTCGATCAAGTTATTCTTATGCCTTCGAACACGTTTATATATGATGGTGTACCACTTGTATTCGAACGAATGATGGAAAAACGAAATCCTAAATCTCGTTGGGATCAAGTAGTAGTTCCATTAACAACAAAACCAATTTTAGCTGATCGAGATCCCGTTGTTTACAAGCTACTTACACATATTGAATATTTAGCGAAACAACTTCGAGGTAAAATAATTAAATTTCTCCGTCGAATTATATTTAATATTGATTTTGTGGATGTTTTTTTAGGACAACCAAATCAAGCTCGAAATAAAATTGAACAACTTGAAGCTGAAGTATTTATATTAAAAAATGAAAATGCTAGACTTAAATCAAAACATGAATTATCATCAAATAAAAATCTCGAACAACGTTTGATAGCATTAGAAGATGTATCAAACAAATTTGCTAGTAAAAGATTTACTAACAATCGACGCGAACGAAGTCACAGTATTGAGAAACAATCAAAACGTCTACGACGCTTTAAAATTGACGATGATATATGTGATTCATCATAGTTTTATAGAATGTACTTGATTATTTTGAATTAATTGTAAATATTTAAAACATATTGTTATTATTATTTTTTTGCTCGCTATATTAGAATCAGTGCATTTGATATCAGATTGATTAGTTTCTTTTTTTTTTATATATTTATAAACTATGTGAAATATTATTAAGCATAATAAAATTGTTGTTTATTATGAATTTAAAATAGAATAACTATCTTTTCTTTTTACGAAGTTCATTGAATCAGACAGTAAAAGCATTATCTATGCTATTATTTTTGTAATATCGCATGATGACGTCGATTACACGAAAATGAGGGCATTTTGTCACGCATGATTGAACATGTTGATTCAGCGTACTCGAACGTTTCTTCTAATGACGTCAAAGAATATGATCAAATGCCCACATACATGATGAATAAATAGATTGTTCTATTATCAAAGTTTTATTCGTAGTATTTACATATGAATAATATCGAGAAAATGACCACGAGATAGTGGACTATATAAGGCAGATAACTTTTATGCTTACATTCATTCACATTACAATTACAAGTTTCATATCTACAACTACAAAATATAACGATGGTTTTCAGTTATGATAATCTCTTTCGTGGGTTCGGGGGATACGATCACCATCATGGTCACTTTGGTGAAAATTACGGCGCTGGTTATGGATATGGAGGTTTTCCAGGAGGTTTCGGTGGAAGCTACGGCAGTGGTTATGGTTATGGAGGCGTTCCAGGAGGTTTCGGTGGAAGTTACGGCAGTGGTTATGGTTATGGAGGCTTTCCAGGAGGTTTCGGCGGAGGATATGGCTACGGATGGTAATTGACAATGTTTATAAATATATTTTGTTCAATTATTTTCATAAATAAATATATTTTGTTCAATTATTTTCATAAATAAATATATTTTGTTCAATTATTTTCATAAATAAATATCTTCTGTCTAATATGATTTTATAAATCAATGCAGTTTTGTTTTAATCTATACTGAATTTGAACAGATGAATCGTGTGTACACTCGAAAGTAGTGAAGTTCTCTCTCGTTTAGACAAGAAAAGTAAATAATTAGCATTTTTATATGTGAAACGTATAGCTATGTTTATCTGATGTTTGCTTATGATGATGAATGCCACATTTATCATGTCTGATCGATGGCACGTAATTCATGTCGGAGACAATCATTATTATTTAATTAACATAGTTCAGACTATAATATTGTCATTGTGAACTATAGCAATACTAGACGTGTGTGTGTGTGTGTGTGTGAAGTTTATTCAACGTTTGATTTTCTTGCTCAGTCATATTTGCATATAACTGATTCATCAAAAAATCGCTCATGAACTTATTAGATTTCAATTCTTTTTTTTATACATATTTCAATTTTAGATTATACAATCTATAAGTGGTTTAGTAACTGGTTATGCTCTCTCGTCGTCTATTACCATCAATCAAAAGAAAATGAATTCTGTGCATGTAGACACGCTAATAAATATTACTGAATGTGTCTCTGACGTGCAATATGACTATTTCGTAATAATAAAATGGAATCAATAAATAATAGGAAATATTTTCATCCGAGAAAATATGTTCAAGGAGAAACCACTAAGATCTATCGAATTTCTATGATAAAATCAGAGTATACATCGTTGCTTATCATTCATTTATTTTTCTGTATGATTATCGATCGTTAAATCTATTTAGTAGTTGCAAAGTAAGGTACTCGTGCTTTGAAACGATCCATCTTTCGCCTCACTCGTTCTCGGTTAATCAAATTCTCGTTTTTTCTCCGGTGGTCTAGTGATCGATCGTGCTGTTGCTATTTCTTATTCTACAGGACACATGCAACACGATTATCGCATTAACACACAAACCCGGAGCTTGTCTCTCACGAGAATAATGCATTTCTCTATGCTTGCACTCATACAGTCGACGCCATTGTCGTAATATTGTTATTCGTCTTCACTCTGTACACGCATATGTGACTGTTCTCTGTTACCATTATCTCATGATTATGACCTATTGTAAGCCATTGGAAATGGCCATGAACCACCTCATTGACTTATAAGTCATTTCAAGTAGAGGAAATTAGCATCGGTATGAGTTCAAACAAATGATCACACACGTGTAATACAAAAGCAATATTGATCTTATGCTTCTGGGTTACTGGAATATGACTGACTGACTGACTTACTGGCTACTGGGATTTTTTTTTTGTTCAATCAATCTGAATGAGAAAGAACATGACGTCGACGTGTACGGCACAAATATGCAAATCGAATTAAATAGCAGAAGAATAGAGAGAAGAATGAGTGCATGGGCAAACTCATATATCTCGACTTTCACTTGTTAGTTAGATGGCAGCCTTTTGTCGTGTACAATTGCTTGAGGGAACAGGAGTAGTTGAGCGGAAATTACGAGTTATAATGATTGCGCCATAACTATTAGATCTTATCTTACAAGATAGTTTCGAGTGTACTATAAAAAAAAACTGTGGCAATCTCATCGTCGTCGTTATTTTCTCTACTCAATTCCACTTAGATACTAAACGAAATATTTTCAATGTTAATCGTTACTAGCCGATTTTCTAATTGACTATAATTGTAATCAGTCGTCGCTATTGAGTGGACTGGTCAACTATTTTAGTCACCAGAATGTCTATTATCCCTGCTGTTTCTGTCCCGTTTTATTAATCATCGTTCTGGTCAAATGCAGGCGGAGTAGTATACAGACTTATTGAATTAGAAAAGACGTTTTATTCAGTGTAATTCTCATCATCGTTAGCCAGTTTTAAATGCAAATTTACCATTATTCAAATTATTTTTTGATATCAAACGTGTCAAGTATGTATATATATATATATATATATATATGAAAGTGTTAATGAAGCACCTTTCGCTTGCCCTCACGCACACGCTCAGATCATCGATCATCACACAGCACAATTTCCGATTGATTGTCCCCAACACCACTTGAAAATATGTGTGCATTCATATTCGTGAAGACAATGAATAAAGGTCATTTGAAGCCTAAATAACATCACACTTTCAAAAGAAAGAAAGGGAAAAAAATGAGCATGAAACAAACAGCTTCCTTTCTCTTTCTCTCTCTTCGTTCTCATATACGAATATCCAGATGGACATTCACACATACTCGTACATTGCCTCAAGGTTAGTTATCAACATACACAATACAGGAAATGATGGTGTTTTAATCAATAACTTTCGCATTGTTGATTAACTTGATCTCTTTTATTCTACTGTTTTTAATATAGACAAAGCGCAAAAAAAGAGGTGCATTCAACCGAAAACTCATAGAATGATGTCAGCTGGCGTTCATGCAATACACGCAACTAGATAAAGATCTGGCGAAGTAAGTAAGTAAGTAACTAAGTAGTAGTATTAGTCAAAGACGAATAAGCAAAGTACATTTTTTTGTTGTCTATCTATTTGATACAACCGTACAAAGATAGAGAAAGAAAAAAAATGAGAAATTGCGCTCAATCACGGATGCCACTGTTGAATCGTATGACTGAACATCACCTTTTATGTATGCATAAAGATAAGCGTCTATCCTGTATATATGAAGTTGTTTGAAAATTGATCATATTTCGCGCGAGACGACATTGTCTGTCTAAATAAGCTCTCTCTCTCTTTATTCTTCTATGCACGCAAGCGAAAGTCCCACATCATATATATCTTTTTTTACTTGATTGGCATTCTTTAGTCGTTCGGTCAATCATTCATTTTCTCTCTGTTTCTCTATTCTCTCTTGCGCGATGGTCAATTTTGAGAAGTGTAATGAAATGAAAATAGTAGAGAAGAAAGAGAGTGTAACAGTCCCAATCATCACAGCAGTATATACGTATATGAACAAAGTCAAACGACATGTCGAGAAGGTAAGAAGAAGGCCAATGATGGTGATCACCATTGACAAGTAGTCACAGCTGCGACAAGAAAAGACCTGAGGGTAACATAATGATTGATATTGCCGATTCGTTATAAATGAAGTTATCGAAAAAAAGAATGAAAACAATGAGAAAACTGCTCCTGGAAAAATAAGTATAATAATTTCTCTTGGACATGCTTGTTTTGTATGAGAAAAGAAAAAAGATGACAAAAACGGAAGAACGGGAAATGATTGATACTAAAAATAACAGAAGCCTCATAAATTATCTTCTGTGATAATTTAGCTAAGAATCCTTCGAAATATTTTTCTATATTTCTTTTCAAATCATTCGCGAGACACTTATTTTTTTTATGATCCATTCATCATGAATACTTTGAAATGATTTATCAAAGCTGTTTCTCATCTGTCTATGATCTTTTCCACACATTGGTGTCATCATGCAAAGCGTATTTTATGTCTTTCAGCTCTGTGTACTGTTGGTGCCACTACGTCGCTTCTCGGTCAATACATAGTATATATTTGATTTCTATATTTAGTGTAAGTGCGAAATAGAACTTAATAAATAAAAATGAAAAAAAGAATAGGTGTTATATATATGACTAATTTGTCATTGTTCTTGGCCACCTGTTCATTAGTAGAAAAAATTTAAGAAAAGAGAGAGAGAGCAAAAATCATTGCATAATCCCATTTGGTTCGGTCTGATTGTCAATTGTCGTTGACAGAGAGAGAGAAAGCGAGAGCGAGACATTCATTTTTATTTCCCTTCTCTATTTCAATAGTCATTTATCATTTATGATTTGTCATTCCTTTCTGTTATTGTCCATGAATACTAAACGTCGTCTCAAGTAGTAATGTTCACGTGTTTGTACATATATATATACGTATATATAATTTGAATAAAGGTCGAGATTATTCTATTGTTTGTTGTATTGAACATTGTTTTCATTTTTATTATCTCTCTTGTTATTGATTTGTCTTGGGAGCGCGGTACGTTATAGTTTTTTTTTTTTGTTTCTTCTCGCCTCTTGAAACAATGCCGTTTGCTACTTGATACTCTTATTGAGGAGGTATGGCCTCAAAGAATAACATCGTAGATAGAAATATATAAAAAATTATTGACCGAGCAGCTGCAACTTCAGGGTCAACACTACAACTATTGTGAGTCTATCAGTAGTTTGCTTTATCTTTTCTTTCTCTCTCTGCCTCATCAAGAAGAACTGCAGCCGAGAGTTAATGGATAATGATGTTAGCAGAACTAGAAAGAGATGGAAGAAGAGAAGACAATGAAGGATAAAAGAGTACAATCTTTCACACAAACACAAATTATAGGCTCCTGTTGAACAGACGAAGGAGAGATAATAGTAAAGATATGCAGTTATCTGTTCCCAGTCGAACCAACCCGACCTTCGCAGACATGTATGAGATCAACCATCAAATTGTAGAAGTGCTGACATATATGATGAAAGATGACGGATTGGTTTGAGGGACGACCCACTTTCGCCAAAGCTCGTCATAAATGAGCTATATACATAGATATACGCATATGTATATCGTTTTAAATACTATTGTATTTCATAGCAGGTAAGTGAACATTAACCAGACACACTTTTATAGTGGATGTCATACGTACAAAAAATAACATAAACAAGAAAAAGAAAGAATTTGAATTATAAAACGCTTTCTTTTTATATTCTTCTTCTTCTTCTTCTTCTTCTTCATTGCATAATTATTTGTGTATTATCTTGCCAATAGTAGTGCAGTTGCCAGAAGGGTTTAATTGAAGCCAAATGATGTGATCATCTTTTTCTTTTTTTGAGTGTTTGATAATATGAAATAAGAAGAGCTAAGTTATTTCTTTGTTAAGAGATCAAATTTCAATATTCAGACTTAATAATCTATACCAGAACACGTACTTCCATGACGAGTTCGTGAGAAAATCTTATTTCTCATAATGATCATCATATTTCATTAAATTGTTTTTGTCATGCACATTTTAAATATATATATATATACATGTTTTTTTTTAAGATAAATAAAATGATTTTACATTTATTTTTACTATTATTTCAATTGCAACTTAAACAAATATCAACAGAAACAATCAGCGGTTGTACAATAAATAATAATAATCGGCGAATTGCCAATGGGAAAACATCAGTGACATTATCTTGTCCTAATAATGGTTATATTTTAGTGAAAAATTTAACATTCGGTGTACATAAAACTTCACTATTACCTATAACACCAACGTGTTCATATCAATCTGGCGATTGTACAACGAGAACAACTTATATTGGAATGGAATGTAATGGTCTTACTACTTGTGATCTCGATCTTAATCCACAATATTTACATATATGTAAGTGATATTCTTTAGATAATATGAGAGTCCATACTGAATAGCATTGAGAAAGTTCATACAAAAAATCTTTGGGCAAAAATTTGAATAATCTTTTTATATTGTCGCTAGAAAATTAGAAACACTAAGCTTAAGTGTGTTCTCAGGTCATGTCAACTTTATATTCCACGCTTGTTTACATATTAGCAAGGGTTCTAATATGAATTCCAGAGCAACATACACATTTAATCTATATATGTATATATATATATGTCAGATAGATATATACAAGAACCGATTATTTCTATTCTTCTATTAATATAGGTAGCCAATATAGCGATTACATGGTACTTGATTATTCATGTTTACAAGGTCAAAGCTTATCAGTTTGCGATACCCGCTTAATATCAACTTCATTTAGTAAAGAGAATCGGCTATTTCTTCGAAGTCCAAATTATCCACATGAATATGAAAATTCTTTAAATTGTTCATGTCAAATCAATGCTGTTAAATCACAGATAAAGTTTCTGGATTTTTATCTTGAAGAACGTGATGAAATGAATATATGTTCAAGGGATCATTTACAAATTCACAATCGTTCCTATTGTGGTTCATCGATCGATGATAATAATTATAAATCATCATCGTTTAGTCTTAATTCATCATTCCAATTAACATTTAAAACAAATGACGTTATTACACGAAAAGGTTTTTGGCTTTCAATTAATAGTGAACAACCAATGCAAGTATCATGTAATAGTCTAATCGAACCCACTTCTCCCACAACAATAATAACAACAACGACGACGACGACACCAACAACACTTCAATATTCAGTACCCAGTTCCCTTATTCCTTTAACTGAATCATCCAGTTTCAATCATAATGAAAATAACAACAACAATAATAATAATAATCGTCGTCATGCACTTTCCTATATTCTTATACTAACTATAGTCTTCGTTATTATTCTTTTACTATTAAATATTGTGTTGATTATACTTTGTTGGAGACAACGACGACCAAAAGGAACGATGGATTCAAAAATAAATAGTACAAATCAACCGTTTGTTTGTTCAGTACGTTCATCAACATCATCATCGATCACATATGGTGAAACGCCAGTTTTAACATCCCTTGACATACAAAAACAACCACCATTATCTAGCCGGTACATTTTTCAACCGAATCAACAACACTCAGACACAACACCGTCAACATCAACAACAACAGCAACAGGCCCCTATGATGATCTTAATGAATCTATGACATTACAAAGACCATTTCATAAAGAAAAATCATTTGATAATCAATTTCTTTATTTACAAAATCAGCCGACATTTTCTTCCCCGAACACTGCATATAATCGAATGATTCATTTTCCTCCTGTACCTATCCGTTGTAATTTTAGTACACCAGTACAAACTTTTTATCCTCCTCAGCCTCTATTCGATTCTCAGCATATTTATGAAACGATACAAGAAGGACAATGTCCGTATCAACGACTAGCAGCTACACTTCGTCGACAACACACAGCATCATGTTCATGTTACTATCAACATGGCGAGCAACTGCATCCAACAAGAACTCACATTAATGAAAATTTAACTATTCTACCTAATCCGGAAACACTCGTCTGATACGAACTGCTAGAAATAAAATTCGAGGCGAGTTGCTTTCTTTCTTCCTGCTTTTTTCGTATCTTGGCATGTTTTAATATTTTTTTTGTTAATGTCTTTATTTGTGTGACGAGATGAAAGAATAACAAAGCATTTTTTATCTAAACAAAATAGGAAACAATTTACAAACTATGAACTGTTTATAAAAGCAACAATTTTTTTCTGTTAACAAGCAACATTTAAAACTATTCCATAGAAGAAGACAACGTTTTAACATAGATTCCATGAATCCATTGTCCTTCGAGTTTTTCTCCATTCGAACAATGAAACGTACCATTGCCATGTAATTCTCCACGCAAAAATTCACCTTCATATCGATCACCGTTGGCCCAAATATATACACCATTACCGGTACGATCATTATTCATCCAAGATCCAACATAGTTATCTCCATTAGGCCATCTATATGTCCCATGACCTTCACTTCGACCAAATAGATAATCTCCAATATATTGATGACCATCAAATGATGTACGTGATCCTTGATCATAAATCAGACCGTTGACAAATCGACCACGATAAATATCTCCATTAATAGCTCGATATATCCCTTCGCCCGTACATGTATTATTCCGCCATTCGCCTAGATAGATACTACCATTCGACCAGTGATACACACCATAGCCATGTCGTTGTCCTACATCGTTAATTTCTCCACAATATTCATCACCGTTAGAATATTGTTTTTTTATTTCTATCATGGTAGAGATTCACTTCAAAATTTCTTTTTTACTCCTCGACAAGATTATTATTTGAACTCATAGGAACACATGCACTTTTGTAGAGAATAGAAAAAGATTTTTATGTGTGACAAACAAAATTGGAAAAAACCCACCCAATAGCATTTATATGTTAAAACAAATGGTAAAATTCCAACAACGAGGACTGATTTTTAACCACAAAAGAAACAGTTAACACGTAACAGTAATAGAAGAATGTATGCATAGCATCGATACGTGCTTCTTCATACGGAAATATAGTAAAATAAAATGCCGAGTACACTCATTTGTAACATACGTCAAATAGTTGATTTAAAAAAAATGAAGTACTTTACTTTCAACAACAGTAAAATATTACTTGAGTTATTCTTGTATTCCCATTCTTTGTTTTTTTAGGAAAAAAATTAAACGGTTAAAACAAAAACAAACTGTTACGCAAGATATTTTTCATCACCGAATAAACATGCATTATCGTCTTTTTTTTATCGATAATTGTCCATTGATTTTTGATAACTCCCGTGACTCAGTAAACACTTCTCTGAAAAATATCTTACTCAAGAGATATGTACAACCACAATCTGACATGCCTGTATAATCGCCAATATTTAATTTACAATCATTCATATCACCACTATATTCACATTTCCTATGAAAAAACTAATGATTCAACATAGTTTTTATCTGCTTCTGATTTAATTATATTTAAATGAAAATGTTCAATAGTTTTTATATGTCGTTTAAATAATTCAAGACATGTACGATATTTGTTTAGACGAACTTGTTGCGATTGAATTAGAATAACACAATCATTCCCCTTCAATGATTCTAAATGAGCGAATATAGCATCCGTTGTATGATGATTCCAATTTTTAAATTTAACACCTTTTATCGAATAAAATAGAGAGATGTTCCGATAGTTTAATATGAAGCGAGTCATTTAGAATAGTTCAAATATATTTTTTCGCTCGATCGATTAGCTGTATGACTTCAGTTGAAAATTCTTTTGCTAGTACATAATTCAGAGTGACTAGCGATGATTTTGTTTCTATTTTCATATTGATTCTCTAGAATAAGAAAATCCGTCTATTATATACTCGTTTTTTTTTTGTCTATAAACAGCAGAAGAAAAGCAGATTTGAACAATATATATATATTTGCCAATAAGAGAAAGTATCAAACAAAACGTCGTCGTTTCATTGGTGATGATGTCGAAGAATAATCATTTTCGTTATTATTATCGAAAACTTGTGTCCAAGTATAATTGAACGATCGTTTGTTATCTGTTGTTGCTGATTGTGGATAGGTTTTGACTTGAAAATAATCTGATGGCGCATGACAAACAAATGAAAGTGAACTTAATGAGCGTGGATACTCTTCGTTAGGTCCTGAAAGAAAATATAAAAAAAAAATGATGAATAATGATGAAAAAACTTATTACCAATCGAGTAAGCATTTGGATCAAATTGAAAATTATTTGTCGATGTTTTATTCGTTGTTGGTAATAACCATGTAAGAAAAGCAAAGGCATTTACATGTTCATCTTGAAATAAAGCGCGAATCTGGGCATAAAAACATGAGAAATTTGCATCGATTAAATATACAATATCACCGACTTCAAAACGACGTCCCTAAGAAACGAAAGAAATTTAAAATTATGTGTTTCAGACAGTTTTATTTTACTTTTGAATATAAAACATCGTATAGTTTGAACGTTGTGGATTGAGATAAACATTTTTCAGGCTAAAACAAAAGAACAAATTAAAAATTGCATTTATCATGTTTTTTTTTTCTTGTACTTTTTTAGACTTAAATGCGAGAGTTTTTCTATTAGAGCGAAATGCTGGTTGTTGTCTTGTGGAAATTTTAACTGGAATTTGTGATTTAATAGGTTCAATGATTTTGAACCGTTTGGACTTTGTAATAGTTGATGAAGATGACGAAGACGATGATGAAACTAATTGTTCATCTTTATTGATTTGATTTGAGAATTGAAAACGATTTTCAAATGTTGGTAAATCTTCAATATTTGTATCGATACGTTTTAATTTACAGAATTGATTCGAAGTTCTTGAATCTTGCAAAAAACAATTATTACAAAGAAGTATATCGCGAGCTGGTACACGCCAATAAACGGATGTCATCGTGTCGCATTGACGACAGCGTGGATTTCGAGGATCAATTCTAGATAAGAAGAACTTCTATTAAGAAAAAAACACTCGTTTTAATCACTTACGTTGATTGTTGGTCTAATCGAGACATGTTTGATAAGAAATTCGTCTAGTTTAATAAATAGCAATGAATTTTGATACAAATATAATGTGACAGCCTTTTCCTTTTATTCTACAGTAAAATACGATGAGAACCAATCCGATTGTTTTTATTATGTGAATAAGAGAGGGCGCTACTGTCAGACATATAGCGACAATTAAAGATGAAAAATACATGCAATATCTTATCTATTGGTACTTGTCGGCGAACAAAATCAGCTGAATTTCTTTCTCATATTATTAAAATATCCCTAGTCGAACTTTTTTTTGTAAGCGCATGCAATTCTTGACTTTCTTGATCAAGAAAGTCAAGAACTATGGACACATCTTGAGCTCAAGTCTTGCAAACATATGAATATAAATGGAGAAAAGAAAAAGTTAAACTAAAACTAAAACTAAATCTAATAATAGATTTAGTTTTAGTTTAACTTTCCGATATATGCGACATATGAATACATATATACCCTTCATCCACACCCACATTTGAGCACTCCTCCATGGTATCCATCACCCACACCCTTGCGCCTTTGAGAATCGTACTTCTCTGACATATGTTCATGTGTTGCTTGGTTAATATTGACTAGAACATTATTGCATTCGTGAATGCTCAATAAAGTACCTAATCCTATTAAATACAATCCATCTTGCTTTTTTATTCGATTCAATATGACACGATCACGTAATCTTGTTGGAACTGAATAATTGCTTAGTAAGAGAATAGTAGTATTCCAATCTGTTATGCCTAGGTATTTATTGTGGCGCATTTTAACAATAAATCTTAATCGGCCTTCGCTCTTTTGATTTTGTTTTCATCTGCTGCGTGTCCTTCAAATGCGATTCTCTAGTGTTTTATGCTTCATTTTGATGTCATCGCTCAAAATCTACGAAGTGTCACGATGGCGATATGAACATTACTTTTCTTCAGTGATGGTTTTGCCGTGCCCTTATTGGGTGTTGATTAAATCATTGTTCATCTATGCTTGCACCCACGACACCCACACTCTCAAAAATAATTGAAATTAATTTGTAACTGAAATTGCACTTACTTAAATAGACTAAAACTGAACATTTGAATCATTTCGATGTTCAACATGCTTAAATCGATTCTGAGTTGATTATTAGTCGAATCGATATGATTCATATCACGACCAGGCCATTAGGTGTTTGTCGAAGCGGCAAGCTGAATGACTGCTTAGAAGAAACTTCACCTGCTCAAAGAGACTGAAAATGAGCATTTGATCGATTATATTCGATATCGTTTCATTGATAATCAGTAAAGAGGAAAGCACGCGAATTGCTTATACGTTGAGACAATATTCAATGAAATCAAATGTTTAGACGATCAAAAAAATTGTATCAGCGTTAGCATCGTTCTTAAGGATGACAGTAATGGTACGCACAATTTTTGTTGATTTTGCAGATAGGTTTTCTGAGAGCGGGAGTCAGTTGGAAAAACTTTGTTGATCTTGTTCGATATATGTTGTAGTAGCTAGTTAAGTGTGGGATACTGAGTTGGTTTGCTGTTCAAATAGCATTTGTTTCATCAGAGGCGGCTAAAGTTCAATGAACTGCTGGATAACGTCGATTTTTTTAGTCTTTCTACAACCAAATACGTTGAAGGTTCTGTCGCGTTTGCAGCTGGGTGGTATGCACATGAATCACAAATAGATGTAGTAACATTTGAAGAATACTCTTTATTTTCTATCTGAGTCAAATAATTAGTTTCGCTAAAATGTTCATTTCTCTGTGCTTACAGTCACACGTCAGGTCATATCGAATACAGGCTCTCGTCTCGAGCGTGTGGTGCTACACTTTGGACGCTATAAATAGCATAAGCCATTTGCCAATACTAATGGAATATTAGTAATGAAAACGGCAGGATCCGACTCGTATCCCTTTATCGTAAGGAATTGGCATATCCTTATCCGGAAACGTACCATAAACGGTAACCAGATCCGGAAATTGTTTAAGGGGTTAGAAAATGACGGAAATCAACAGGAATTTCGCGGATCCTTTAGTTTCCTGTCGTATGTTCTTCACTCGAGTAAGGACAATGTATGCATATGTTGAAAGAAAGAATGTTAATTTATTTATCATCATTATTTAGTCCACAGAATTAAGAAGGCTCAACAGAATACTAAAGATGAATACAGGCAGGCTCGCCAAAAATCCTAAAGGTAAGAAAGAAATAATGTCATAATTTAATGAATATCAACAAATTAAGTTTTATTTATGTTAAATTAATTTTACACTACTAATAAAAAATAGAGCAAACGATAAAATAAAATGAGTTTAATTTTAATTTGTTTTTCAAAACTTAAGCTTCTAATGTTTGTATTTTTTGTTCATCAGTAACTTCGGCAAAAAAAACGTGGAACATTCTTAACGTATGTTGAATAAGCCGAGTCATATGTTCACATTCGATTACGATTTTAATTTTAATTAATCGATAATATTGTTGAACATAATGAACAATATTCTAATTATGAAAATAGGTGAATCTTGTGTCGGCTACGTACTGTTGATAATGATGGCTAATAGATTAAGGAGAACACAACCACATCTAAACCATTAAAATACAACTTCAGCGTCAATCATGCCATGCATTTAACGTACAAAACTATGAAGGCCGTAAAGCATTTATTCAAGAGTTGCCTCCAGCTCCTCAATCAGTCAATTGGAGAATAAAATAAAACTACCAAGAAAGAAAACAATTAGAATTAGAATCGAAATGATCACATATCAAGGAACATTTCTTTTTTCTATCTCTTCTCCTTTCTTCTTTATTTCCTTTTTCCTTTTATACTCCTGCAAGGCACACGCATGCCTGCAAATGCTTATCAACACTATTATGGAATTTTTAGTCTACAATGTATCCTAAGTTTCTGCTTACCATAAATTTAAACTTGATGCACTATTGTCAGCGGCGCCGAGTGGAGCATTTTAATGAATGCAAAAATAATAGGTGAATGTGTAATTGCAAACTTTGGTGGAGATGATTATCGTCGTGCTGGAATTCAATCTTATAAACAATATGATCACAAATGTATATAGTTGATACTCTTGATTACGGACGTTTGATCTGGGCAGTTGAAGTATTCCGCATGATTTAGATGAAATAGAAACACAAGCACATCGTTGTTTATTAGATAATATAAAAGCTGCAACAGGGTTATATTAAATTAGGTAATGAAAATAAAACAAAAAAAAATTTAGGGTATTCCGTGTAGGATGTAAAAAAGAAACGCTCATAAGCGCATTTAGAAGTATCACAGAAATCTGTTATTCAAAATTAACTTCTCAATTGCACTGAAATGGGCAACAATAATGAAATTTTCTCAGCTATCAAAAGTTCATGTATTTTCATCAAATAAGTCATGTGAAAAAATATATCCTGAAAAATTGAGGCCTACCTAACCGTACTGAATTTTTTATCATGCATCTAACTATCCATGAAGAGAAGAAATATCCGTGCTTTTATTTCGTATTTTCGAGAGTGAAAGTTGATTTTTGAATACGGTTCATTTTTTGGCACAAATCCACGCTCACACGAGCACCTATACACCTCACACCCACACCCTGGTTGGCCCGATAAAGATAGTATCAAATTAATGGCATAAAAAAGATCAAATTGTGTTCACGATCTGTTATGATTTTAACTGTTGTCTGTTTATTTTGACAACAAAAATTATATAGTGCAATAACGAGCTTGAGAAAGAGCCGGAGCAACAAATGCATAGGCAAAGAAGCCATCACAATTGGTCTCATAAATCTTCATACTCCAAATGCAACTCATTCCAATCCAATTGACGCAAACCGTTTGGTTCACTGTTTCTCCGGTTTCTGGCTCAGTAGGATGTTTAAGTCATCCAGCTCCTTCTGATCCACAACGAAGGGAAGAAACGGAATGACTGGCAATCAAATAGCCGAATCAAGTTCGCAAACAATTCTCACTTTTCTTACTACAAATCGAACATTAAAAATATTCTGGATGAATGTCAATCCAATTTTTGGAGAAGACTATTGGCATAAAGACGATAATGTCTGTTGGCAACAAATAAGTCAAGCTTCGCAACAAAATGGTACGTGTGAATTTGCCTAAGAAAATGTCGCCTAAGTCACTTTTTTCAGCTCAATTATTTTATTTTTCTCATTAGTAGTAGCCACTTTTAATGTAGTCGAATATAACTAATTATAGGGTGTAAGTGTGTCTGTAAGTACGGGCATCATTTATGTTTTTGGCATTCATTCACTCACGATCTTCAAAGATTTCTAATAATAATTTTCATTTTGTGTCATACACTTTTAATATCAAGTCTATCTCGAGCCGTTATAATAATGCATTCTTTTAAGAATCTTGTTGTGTATTGTCGGAAAAAAGATGTTTTTTATGATAAATCTCTTCGTCTGCCTAAATAAATATTGACAGTAATTCAATTTGTAGATCATAAAAATGAAGCTAACTTGTCCCAGAAGAACACTCCAAAAAATGCCAATATCAGAAGATGTTTTAAATCGTCGACATCCCGTTACGAGATTGTATCCCCATTCCAATTGTAGAAGTTCTTCGTCAGGAAAACGTCGTTTGAAATAAATATGCACAAAATCAACAAGAGATATTTTAAAATTTGGTTTAGCATCGAGCGTATTCTGTTGCTCTAAATCATGTTCAATTTTCTACAAGAAATAAAATGTATCATATATTTTTTGTTCAAGAAAAACGAACTTGTTTCCATATATCTTCAATTAAAAGAGAAACATCTCGTTGCATAAAATGTCGATTACGAATATTCGATGTAGTTTGAAGAAATTTCGGTACCGTTGGATCAATGCCAAGACCAATAAAATTTACAACATTATTATACTACACATATTCAATGAAAATAAAATAAAATAGAAAATAGAAATGTTTTCGTATACAATATCATTGCCACCAATAATTTCATTGAGTAAAATATCTACGAGTTGATTACTTGTTTTGCCAATGGATAGTTCCTTCCAATGTTCTAATCCACCTTCTATGATCGGCGCACATCGTTCCCAGTTCGGTCTAAGATACTCATTTTTTTTAAATTTCAAACTGTCCGTTGATTTTATATACCTAGGAGTTAGAGTAGCACGATAAGTTTCGCACAATGTAAAATATTTATCTCGATCTTTAATTAAATATTCAAGTGCTTCTTTCAATCCACTAATGTTTAAATATTAAAATGCCGATTTTTTTTATTTTTATTTTTAGTACATACTTATATTCAACTTTGGCATTACGAAAATTTTGCTTTAATTGTTCCGATGACTTAACAAGTTCGTCGTGTGTTTGTTGAAGAGAAAGATATTCACTTTTAGATACATATTCTTTATTATCTTCTTTTAATTTATTGATACGACGTTCAGCTTCTGCACAATCAAGACGGCATCGTCTTAAAACACATGAGAAGATTTTCGTTTTTATCAAATAATAAGCATAATTTAAAAACCTAATCGCTACACGAAGTAGTACCGGATCATCGAGTACAGTATTTAAACGAGCATTGATATATTCAGATGTTTTACCAAGAAAACTCGTTTGTAATTCTTCGATATTGGCACGATTAACATCAGATGATAGATCTGTTGTTGTCGCCATAGGCGATCTACTTCCTTCGTCAGTATTCATAGCTTTCTAACAGCTGATTTAAAATTAATTACAGAGAACTATTTCATTAGCTTGTTTAAATAACAAACGCAACACCATACAGTGACGTTTTTCAAAAAGGGACGATTTCATTAAAATTATATCAGGATCATCTATGCCTTGCGAGGGGAAAATGCTGGTATATATGGTAACCAATGTTTTTTCTTTAAAGTTAACTTTATCCTCAACAAATTCAGCTTTACTACTCACAGAAACCAACAACATTCTATTTAGATACATTAAATTTATGAGAAGATCGTTCAGTAAAACAAAAGTAAATTGTCCCATTTTAAGTATCACTCTGACGGCTGATCATTGGCCACGAACGAAGACTTTTATCTGATTCAATTATTGTATTGTAATAATACATATAAATACATACCAAACATAAATTACATTAATTGCTACAAAAGAAAATTCGTATGATTTCAAACTCGTTTCAGCAATCATAGAAAAGAATAGATGCGTTACCCGATAGAAACATTCGACAACGAATTTTTCTTATCCGAAAGATAAATATAGTGAAACAGAATCTTTGAAACATCTGGAAATTAAATCCCATTTTAACATTAGTTTTCCTTTCTCTATTGACATTGTTATCTATCCATTCTATTACTTCGATATACATTTGAATACAAAATTGACACGCATCGTACATTCGTACATCTGTGCAAATACAGATTTAAATCTCACAAATCGATGGGTGAATTTACATGACAATAAAGACGTGCGGGTTACATCATCAACAATAAAATGAGACCAGACTCTTGAATATGACTCAACAATTCAATTAAAACAAATCTTTGTTTATTAAAGTACTTCTCTTTGTTTAATTAAGATAAATGAGTATTTGTATTTAGGAATCTATTTTACCTGATATTTTCTCTCTCTCTCTCTACTTCAGACATAAGAAAAAGGCACCCTGTAGCGATAATTGACTACAACTACACGCGACCCGTGTCTCGACAACTTCTTTCATTAATTGTTATCGCACGTAAAAGTCTATTAGATATTGATCGTTTTATAGAGAAACAACAAAGAAAAGAAAAGAATGAAAGGAAAAGCACACATAATAAGATTTGTTAGATACGCGCGCATACATCGCCAATATACACATATGTGTCGATTAATCTGACTGTTGTTGTATACTGTTCATTGATGATTGGGAAATATGTGTATATATGTGTGTGTGTCATATTCTATGAGTCATATGATGACCAACAAGAAGTGCAAATAAAATCAAACTCATGGTACATTGAATAGAAGAAGAAGAACGATTATTTGAGATAAGGCGTTGCTGTTGATGATGCTGAAGTGCTCCTAGAAAGAGACAAAAGAATTGTTAAGGATGTCCTTGATGTTTTAATGACACAGAGTGAATGAATGTGTCTTGACATTCTAACTAGGATCTGTTTTTTCTCAACGAACCTTTTTGAACAAAAATTTTGGCACTTCTGCGTTGTCGTTTATAGGTACATGTCCATAAACCTGAATGATAGGGTTGTGCATGACGTATAATCAATTGTGATTTCGAAGTATTTTTATCATTATAAAATTTTTCATAAATATCATAATGATAGATATTTAATTTATGTGTATGATTTAAACTCGAAAAATGCCACGTTATTGATGATGTATTTATATTATAAATTATACAATCTAATTCAACTGATGAACCCGGTTCAACATATAGCCGTGAAGGTTTTATTGTCATTGGTATTTGTACTTGTAGATTAATTTGTATTGATGCACTCGCACGACGATTCGATATTTTACATTCATATATACCTTCATCGGATAATTTTAAGTTCGATATTTCTAAATTCCAATATGAACTATCTGATGATGTTGAATATGACGAAACAAAATAACGTGTATCAGAAATAAATACATGTTCACTGACAGTCAAAGGCAAATATGTTGTTGTTGTGGGATCATATTTAAGCCACGTTACATGATGATAGCCTAGATTTTCTACATGACATGTTAAAATAGCTGTATCAGATATGTTCAATGTTTGATTATATGATTGAGTTAAAATTTGAGGAAATTTATTCGAAATAACAACTGCTATCAGTCCATGAATCATTATCATTAGTTGAGCAGCTAAAACATAGAGAATAAACAATAGGATAAAAGAGATAAAGTTGATCCGCTCACGTTTAGTGATTCTCCTCAGCATTGCATATAATGGCTAATGATGACAAGACTCTGTGTAAACGAAGGGTCAGTCGTACAAACAAAATATTCGTGGCATTATACGTATATTCTGTTTTTTTTGTTCACATAGAATTAACCTTTTGTATGAGGAGAATACAATATGTACTGAACTCAACTCTATTCTCTTCTCAAAATAATATGGATTAATTAAGTTCGAACCTATGTGTGACAGCATAACAAAGACGATATAGTCATCTATCACAATTAGTTTGTTGCTCATCTTCTCACTAACAGTGACAATGATGAATTGTACAGATGTCTAGTTATCACAGGAAGAATAAAGAAGTGTCGAAAAGTAAGAGCCTTCATTATCACTGTAGACATCGATAGACTCATATATTATCTTATCTATTGAAATATATGAACTAGGGAGAAACAAAATAATGAAGCAAAAACTTACCAAAAAAATAGTTTATTGTTAAGCTCATCATTTAATTAAATAATAGTAATAATAATAAACATTGTTTAAAAAAAATTCGACATCAATAAACTACCTTTTAACTAATTGTTGCATTATTAATCGTTTTTTCTTACACTAAATAGAATAAATGATTGAGTACATGCACGTATATATGAATGAATGAATGAAAAGCGAACGAAGAAGAAGAAGAAGAAGCAGAAGAAAAAAGATGATTATGACAAGCAGAGAAACTTGTTCGTTCTCTCTCTCTCTCTTTCTTTCTCATCTCTTCGCTCTCTCGCTCTCTCTCTCTCTCTCTCTCTCGTGCGCTTTTGCTTGATGTATTTGTAAAGAGAAAATAAACTTTTGGCTAATGGCATTACTCACTAGATGAATGCATAAAAAAAAGATTAATAAAATAACAACGATATTCACTTAAAGTAGAATATGATTGATTATGAACCTGAGCAGATGTCTTTTTACTTTAGTCATTTTTCAAACATTGAAGTTATTGAGGAAACAAAACTTGTGACACCTTTTTCAAATTGATGTCTTTTTGCGCCTATAAAAAAAGGTATGAAAAGGAAATTAACGGTTCACTAGTTTGCATCAATTATTATAGATTCTAGAACCATGAACAGTAGTCAACTTCTTTTTTCTCCATTCTATATATGTGCTGATAACATGATGCGTTGACCTTTGAATTTCATACATATAAACATTTTTAAACCTTGCATTGTGCGTGAAATTTGATCGTTTAAATTTTCTACTAACATCAACTTAATTTGAGATTTGTCATTTTCGATTACGTCATTATATAGTTTCAATTCAGTCCATGCTTCTTAACATGAATTGAGTGACTTTGTTGCTTTATGACCAACAAGCAGTATTCATATGTATGTATCAAGGATGAAAAGGCTCAATCATATCATGTGGGAAGTAGTGTCATTTGTTCTTATCGACCTTTTTTTCTAGGACATATAATAAATGCAAAATTCATTGTGCATATAACTTTGCTCTTTTTTTCTCTTAGCAGTCACGATGTTGAGTGCTGATGGGCTTTGTTTCCTTTTTTTGCTAGAAAACATTGTGCTAGTTTGAATAAATCTAGCTGATGCCATCGCGAACAGTTAATTATGATGCGATGAGTGAAACGGCAATCGTGCATGCCTTCTTTTCGGAATGATATGCAACGAACATGCACATCCATGTGTATATACATACAACGGCAGTTTGTTGTTATTAAGAGCAAATATTGTACGCATCTAGCATCAAATTGTCTGTTTGACATACATTTATTTTAAACGATTTCTGAACAAAGGACTGGCTGGCGCAAGGCGTAGTGGAGGGCGAAATACATTATTATTAGTATTATTATTATTAGAGTTATTAGTGGATGATGAACGTGGAGGGTCTAAATTAAAAAAGAAAAAGAATGAAAAGCGATGAAAAAAGAGCGATCAGTCATTTACTTGATGTGGAATCATTGTTCTTTGAATTTAATGGACGAGCTTTTCTTTGTAACGATACGGCTTTTTTTAATGGACGGGTTTGAGCATTTATAGTCGATTGAACAGGACGACTAGGTACTGCTGAAACGTGACGACGAATATTTTCTGGTCGCCTTAAATTAACAAAGAAAAAAAAAGAAAGAGCAACATTTAGAAAACAAAATTAATTTTTAGATCAGCAAACCGATATTCTGGTTGTCGTTGTACAGGATCTTTTTTTATAACTTTGAGTGGCGCAGGATCAATAACTGGTCGTTCTATAGAAAAGTCTTTTGGCACTCTTTGATTTATCTAAATAAGATAAAAAATGTAATGCTTTAACAATTTCCATAATAACACTAACTCTCATAGTTCTCATTTTTTCTGCTTGTTCATGGCGAACAATCATTAATATTTGACGATTAGGTAAATATCGTGTAAATATTGCTTGAAATTCATCTAGTACCGATTCAACCTAGAAAGAAAAAATTACTTTTATGCTTTTTATCTATAGACTTTTTAGAATTTATTCTACTTGTTTGATTAATTGATCGATTATATTAATATCATCTGGATCCAATTTAGTTTTTGTTTGTAAACATTGTGTTTGAAAATCTACAGCAAATTTTCTTGTGTCCTTATTTTTTTCAAAAAAAAAAACGATAAATAATTATATTGGCCGTAGAAAAAAAAAGTTACATGTAACGTTTGAATTAATCTTTTCACATGTTCAGTACGAAATAATTGTCTTGTAAGATGTCCTTTGATAAAAGCTCCCAGTTTTCTATACAGGATATTTTGAGCTTCCTGAAAATAAAATGTTCGCATGACAATACGAATATATTTCTATTTCCTTTTTTTTACTTGTCGCGTAAATCGAAAGCGTTTTCGTGGAATAGAAAATGTTGATCGCGCATCAGTTATGTTGTTAAAAGGATTCTCTTGTTGTGGCGGATCAAATCCTTGACTATTAAGACGAACATATTCCTGTTTTCTATTAACTAATTGTTTTTCATCATGATGATCGTCATCGTCATTTGATGATGATGATGATGAGTTCTGGAGCGTATAAGTATTCCTACGAGATTGATCTGTGTAACGTTGAGTTTTTCGTGATGGTTGCGGGACGGATGGAGATTTTGAGAGTGGATACATTTCATAAGTTGACGTTTTAAGTTCATCATTAGGAGCAGATCTACCAATACTTTTGCTTGGATCTATCCATGTTGTACAATGTTCGAGATCATCTTGCTCATCATCGGAAGTGTCCAATTCGATTGTATGAACATCTTTATTGATGGAATTCTTGATTCAAGAAAAAGAATTTCACGACTGACAAAAGATTAGTTTTTTTTTATTTACTGTTATTAATAGTGGATCTTCCAGTGTACGATAGAATGATGAAATATCAGGTTTGTTTGATAATTCTTGAAGAAGATCGTCCATTATTTCTGGAAACTAGAAAACCGAAAATTTAAAAAGATAATCAAATGAAATTTAATTTACAGTTTTTATTTTTCTTTCTTCTCGTATTCGTTTTCGTTCTTCAATATATTTTACACGATATTTTTCTAATAACTATAAATAGAAAAAAAAAGAGACGGTTCTTCGTAAGTAAGAACTCACTTAGATATAAGTGACTTACTTCACAATCATTCGGTGATAATGAACCCCAAGCAATGTCACTAAATGGATCATTATCAAGTAGAGTATCAAGTTTTTGAATAAAATGTTCCATCTGAAAAAAGTAGACAATAATTTCTTACTGTTTTTTCGTTACTAAGCAAAGAAATTCTTCTCTTTTTTCCTTCTACTATCTTTTGTTTTATCTTTATGCTTCCTTTACGACCAGGACCGATGCTTTTATTGCCTGCCGTTCAATCTCATATTCGATTTATTCGCCCAGAAAATCCAATGAATAATTCAAATTCTCTTTCGTCATGTAAGCAACTGTTTAGTTATGATTATCGCTTTAATGAAAATTTCGATTTTCAGTACCAAAATCATTTCCGATTCCAATAGAAGGACGAGGTATATTTATACAGCGGAAAAAAAAACTATGAAAAACAAAAATATTTTTTTCTTTAGATGATTTTTTTTCTGTGGATCCAAGATCACTGAGTATTGAACAACTCAATAAATATAAAACAGAAATAGATCAATGTAAGAAAATAGTCAAATACAATATCAATTCGTTGTTATTTTATTAGTAATTAATGCAGAAAAAAATAAGTTTGAAAGAATTCAAAACAATTCAAGTGCACGTATCGATACATGTATGAGAGGTTCTTCGAAATGCTTTCGTGTGCGTTGTGTTAAAAAATGTGATTCTATTCTAGATAAGCAAGGCATCTTATTGGCACAGGAAAGTAAGTTTATTCGGATAAATTTTCGAGCTCGATAGTAGATCTGATTTAAAAATAAACTTGGTTGTTACGTTAGATTATTCTCTTTTTGAAAGTCCGTCTCTCGAAATGTGGAGATTTACTTTGCTATGATCTTTCAAGATATTTTAAAAATCATTAGATCTCTCTATTAGTTGAATTAATTTATTAGCATGGTCGTGATTCAACTTTAGAAAGATCTAAACTGATGTTTCATTGTAACTGAAACTATACAGCGAAAAAATATATTTCTGGCGAGTTCAAATTCAATATTTTTATTTAGCAATAAAAACCTATTCTATTCATTCACAAACTAAAACTCGAACAACTAATTTCAACTCTATTGATAACGGTATTTACCGTTAACCATCACCTTTCTCGTCTTAATCTCTGCATCTCTTGAAGGATCGTTTGGCTCTGTCGATCCTAAAACCTTAACAATCACTCAATTACAATTTTGTAAATACTTCTCAATTCTTAGTTTTTCTTTATTGTAAACATCTATCGTCTATTTAGATATTGAGGGAATCAAAGAAGAAATAGCTTATGAAAAAAAACTCACCGATGAATTCGAAAAAGAATTAACATCACGTATTCAAGCTTGTAAGTTGCTACACTCGCTTCTTTGTCCTCTAAAGTTCTTTTCAGATCAAAGCGGTATTCAATGTGCAAATTACGGTGAAATAACACCAAACCACAAATATTTAAATCGTTACTTTTTTTTGTATTTTTAGAATTAAGCATACGAAAACGAAAATAACATGTTCAATTGATTAGAAAACCGAGAAAAAAATATATGCAAAACTGATTAGAACCACACGTCTCACGGAGACTTTTCATAAAGATTTGAAATAATAGGCGTGTCATAGATAGATATTTAATTAAAAGTTTCCTTCGGTGCCATTATCACATATCCTCTCTTCGTCAAACGAAAGAAAAAGTGATTCACTATCATAAATAATTGAAGGATCCTAAAGAGAAAAATTTAGCATAGAACAAGTTTTCTTCAGAAAATAACATCGTTACCCATTCGTCAGGGTTTTCATGGCCAATTATAAAATCGATGGATTCATCTAAAATTCAACGTATAGAAAACAAAAAGAATTTAAGAAAGAATTCCTCAGACTTTTTCCTTCGGATTTAACACTGTTCATATCCACATTAACTAAACAAACAAAAAACCATACCATCAATGCATTTTTTCTTGTTGCAATGAACATACCTAAGGATATTGTTGTTTCATAATCATTTGTAGATTTCTAAACGATAAAAAGAACAATCACATCGAGTCGTACATAAAAACGTTTCTTACTGGTACTTTAATGCGTTTCTTTATGGATGTTGAAATTTCATTGATACTTTCTGGTGTTATAACTTCAGTTTTTACTGTTTTATATAACATGATTGTTCTCGTTATATCTTTCGCATGTTGTAAATCGACTTTATGATAATTTCGAAGGTGTCGATAAAGATTAACAGGACATGGACGATCACAGGGAATGTTTTTGACAGATTTTGAAAATTTTTTTAAATGAACTTCTACTAGATTTGTACTTCCGTCTTGTGAACTAGTTGAGTAAGGGCATAAACATTTATACGGAACAATGTCTATCTCATCGGCTATTGTAATATTCTTTGATTGGGAAGAACTGATTGTTGTGGTGGGCACTACGGGTTGATCGTAGGTATTATTTTGAAATAGATCCTTGATTACTGTTGATTCCGTACCAGTACGAATAGCTCGAATCAAACGGAGACCAAGCTCACCACTCATTTGATGATAATGCCTATAGAACAAATATAAAAAGTATTTTTTTCTATGCTATAGGCATAGAAATTAGTTCTTCATTGAGGTTAAACAATAACGAAGAAATGCATCCCAAAACAGAAATAATTTTCAGAACAACTATATCGTGTTTCGCTACAGAGATAGCATTAATAGCCTTTTTGAAATAGTAGGATTTCACGATTAGAAGGCTTATGGATTGGATTGGAGCGCATAGGTAAAACATGAACTTTGGTTTATGCCACCTGAATATTAGTTTTATGAACTTGAATGCTTTCTCGCACCTTTATCAATAGTGTTCATCATATCACGTTTCAAAAGGAAATGTTATTGTAGTGTATTCAATATTTTGAAGTCTACAAAGTTATTCGTTACCTATTAGCAATTTACGCTGATACCAGATTATCGTATTTTGTATAAATGAACTATTTCGAAAAATCTCTTAATAATAATAATGCAAGCAAAAAAGCTGTTAACACAATCTCTGTGGGATTGAAATATGATATTTCTAATAACATGAATATTCTATTTTTGTACACATTGCTGTCACTTAATCATCCGGCTATTCCATCAGAAAGTAGACCATACATTAGAATTGCTGTGCAGTCGTCAACAATCTTCTTTTTTTTTCGAAGGCGATTGATACTTCAACCTTAATATTGTGCTTAGTAAAAAAAGCAAATGTTCAATTACGTACTGAAGATGAGCAAATAGAAGGAACTTTTCATTAATTTTAGTACACGGTATATTAAATAATGGTTGTTCATGAATGAATTCGTTTTTTGTTAATGGACAATAATGACGAAATCTTCGATCATCATTATAAATATTACTATAAAAATCAAAAAAATAGAATTTTTCTGATTGTATAATGGAGTTTTTAACATACGAATTTGTATTTGTAACTATATCATCTTTTTGAAATAAAATGATTTCTCGAATATCATTTTCGATCGATGATTTTTGTTTACTTTCAATTGATGATGACATAATTGCTTTGACAATTTTTTTAGCGGACTTCATATTTAAATTATGTGATACGCGTAAATGTGATAATAGTAGACATTGCTTTCTATGACAGCAATCAAATTTTTTTATATTATGGTTTAAATATGTTAAATTATAAACATTATTAAAGCCATATGAGAACGGACATTGACCTTTATGCCAATGAACTGAATGTGAAAATAATTCTTGTGTACTATTAAATGTTAATACGGATTTTCTTTTTCGGGCTAGATTTACTGTATTCATACGATCGAGTACGATTTTATTTGCTAATAAAATAATAGAGTTCGATTATGTAAATATGGAAAACAAATAAAACGTCATACCAGCTGTATTGGATAGATTATGCTTATACATCAGATGTTTTTTAAGTGATAAATGTTCTGTTTTATCAGAACAAGGAAAATTCGGCATATTATAACTTTAACGAAGAACAAAAACAAACTTTTTCAAGTTTTTTAAATTTCATTTTTTACCTCTTTTTAATACCATATATTCCATAATGTGTCAATGGACAGACGCCTTCGAAACTATGAATGACTTTTTCACTCATAACAATACCATGAATGAAATCAAAAAATCATAAGGTGAATGAATAAAGAGTTTCAAACGTAAACAGACCAATTGAAGAACGGAGGATTCAATCATTTTTTCGATTGGTAGAAAAATTAACCAATGATATGAGAATGATTTTTAACAGCTGTTATTGCACCGTATTTTTGACATATGGTGAAAGACCTGAAAAATCTAGCATATAAAAAGTGCTGAATTTCATTTGAATCGAAGGATATGTTTTTCATTTTGAGTACAATCATTTCGTTATGGAAAGAGTTTTCTTCGGTCTAATAGAAATTGTTAGCTCTAAACATGATCTATGAATAGTGTTGTATGGGTGCCTGTTTTAAGAAAAATATAAGTAAGCCAAACCTATTAGCATTATGTACGAGTTTGTTTTCTTATGTTTATTGACTCGTCGCCAAACATCGTAAGTACATTGTATAGTTGAAATATTTTTGATTCTTCTTAGATTGACTAGAATGTAAGATAACTATGATACTCAACACAACATTTCTCAAGACCGCGTTTCAACAGTAACGAGTATCATTATGTTCTTCGCCAGTTATATCTTTATGATTGACTAAGACATGCATGTAATTATCTAGAAGTCTTTTATATTACTGGTAAACATTGATATATACTTTGCAAATTCGGACGCGATTAAGTGAAGTAACGATATATATATGTTAGCGTCCAAACTGAGATTATGTCCAATCTCAGATTGGCCTAGGCGAATCTCGAATCCGAGATTGGACGGGTCCAATGTCGGATTGAGCGGAAAGTTAACATTAAAACGTGAATTAGTCTATGCATCAATGTAGGATTCAAATTCTTATTGATGAATTATGATCAGGGTAACCCATAACCTCACACCCGCACCCTGACCATCAGGATTGAAACGTGTCCATAACTCCTCGAGCCTTTAATTTATTCGTTTATTGATGATTACGCTACCTGATATGATGACACTTCATCGAAGTCCATAAGTAGAAAGTCGAGTCCTACACCAATGTACAGGCTAATTCACGTTTTAATGTTAAATTTCCGCTCAATCCGACATTGGACGCGTGTAATGCCGGATTCAAGATTCGCCTAGGCCACTCTGAGATTGGACGTAATCTCAGTTTGGACACTAACATATATTTCTCTACTAATCAATTTACGAACTTGTGAATCAGCATCAACGTTTATAGCCAGGTATAAATTCCATATGTCTACTGAGAGTAACAGAAAGAACATAACGATGATTGGTGTAGTTGAATGTTGCTGGAAAAATGTTTATCCAATTCCTATAGCAGAGTTCAAGATGACTATTGATTTCGATGATCTAAAAATAATATTTCATTCATCGTCCAATGCATCTAAACTTGTTTTTTAACAATAGTCATCATATCAATAATAAGCATAGAATAATCTGCTATGTGTCGGTTTATCGCTCTTTTCATAAACTGTTTTTGCTTGTATTATGTAAATATAATCTAAAACGAATTGTGAACACTTCTATTCTAATAAGGGTATTAATCAGTTAATCGATGCTTTATACGGCCACTACTTTTCAACAGATCAATTGAAAACTTTAGTGTGCATGTCATTTCGAAGTAATACAGAATTCTCCATAAGAAATGAGCACTTCGGAATTCATCTTGTGAAACATTGATTCTGTAAATTTAGGAAAAATAATTAGTTTATTTTATAAATGTAAAGAATTACTTAGCTATTTTATTTTTAGAAGCAATTATTTTTATTTCTTACAGATTCCTATTTATTTTCCATCATGTCTACACATGCGGCTAAGAAAGTCAAATTAGAAGGCTTACCTCCGTGCCCATATGGTATTTTATTTTCTTATTTTCTTCCTTCTAATAAATCGTGATCTATTATTAGGTGCTAATTGTTATCGTAAAAATCCCGATCATTTGAAAGAATATTCACATTCAAGCACTGCATCGACTAAGATCACTACAAAAGAAATTAAACCGAGTATGCCAATGAGTTGAATCGTTCTTTTGTTTATAAAAGAATGTTTATCAATTTTTTAAGCTAATAACAAAACATTACCAATGTGTCCATTCGGCGCTACATGTTATCGAAAAAATTTACTTCACTTTGCGGAATTCAGTCATCCATTTAATCTTCTTAATCCCGACGCTGAGAGCAGTGATGATGAGGAAGAAGAAACAAGCGCATCAACTAAAACAACTGAGAATACAAAAAAACGCAAAGCAGAAAATGAGGATGCTAATGATGCCGAACAAACCGAAGAGTACAATTCCGATGATGTAAGTTAATAAGTAAAATATAGCCAATAGAGAATTTCATTTACTATAGGAAAGTGCTTATGATGTTAAACTTGAAAAAACTTTCTCTAAAATGAATGATGATGAAAAACGTCTAATGATTGAACGAGTATGTATAATGGATAATCTAGTTTTCAATTATATGTAACATGATAATAAATCTTATAGGCATTAGAATTAAAAGAAAAACTAAAAGAAAAACTAAAGAAATCTCGTGAAGAAGCTGAAGAACGCAAAAAAGCAGTCGAAGAACTTCAGAGTAAAGTATGTAATCTTTGTTTTCGATTCGAAGTTCTATTATATTCCTAATTATCTAGATTGCAGAAGGTGTTTTGTTGATGGAGGGTGAAGAAGAAATACTCAAAGGTACTACCGTCAAATATTTTGAATTGTTTCCTGAACGAAGCTACAAACAGGGTATATTTTCTAGTTATTCATCTTTATCAATCAGACTTTATCCTTGCATGAAATAGGATCAGCTGCTGAAGTACATTTTCGCCTTGCTGAATCACAATTCTACCGTCTATTAAGTGGATACGCCACGTAAGTAATAGAATCAACAAAATCTTTGTGCTTTACGGTAGCATCACATTAAGATTCTAATAGTATTCCTTCCTAATGGCCGACAACAAATGCACCCCTTTCTGATCAGTATAAATTGAGCACAGTATTTTTGAGGTCGTAAAATCTAAGAAATGATGTTCCGTAACTTGAACTACACACGACTATTTTTGTTTCCGATACTTCAAACGTACTTGTTCCGAATAATACGCTTGTGCTATAGCAAAATTTAAAATAGTAAAGCTTACTGGAGTGTGTTACTACAATGGTGTCAAACTAATACATAGCACAAGCTTTTTCAAACAATGGTCATCTCAAACGTCAAACACTTGAAAAATATTTTTGTATGTGTTGAAATATGTCTCAGAGTTTTACAAGGAATATTTAAGACGATAATCTTGAAGTAAAATTTGATGCAAAATTGAATACCATATCCGATAGCCCCTAAATGTCCGCTTGATAAGCTAAGTCTCGCTTTGAAACAGGCAAAGTCGATGTGTACGAAGTCAGCAGTTTTCAGATTTCCAAAAAAGGAAATTTCGCAATTTTGGACCTCGTATCTCCGAAACTCTATTATTACAAAAAATTTGAGAACGCCCGAAATTGCCAACTTCCTTAATTTCCAGTTTTCGAAATTACCGAAGATAATTTTCTTTGACTTTACGTGGTTTTGAGGATAACGGAAATTTCTGTAATTTCCTTTTTTAGAAATCTGAACACAACTCGACTTGTACTGTAAAAAAATATACTGATACTTTTGACTTTCACGTACTTAGTACGAAAAATACCAAGTACTGTACTAGGTATCCAATGTTTGATTGCTACCGGATAGATAATCACGTAATGATTACTGGAATATTTCAGTAAAATATATTTTCTGCTTCTAGAGCACAAGTAGTTAAAGTCGAATATGTATGTAATCCAATGTTAATTCAGAAATTTAAGTATGTATGAAATAAATCATTCATTATTTATTGACTGTCACTATGTGCTTTATTTAGTAAAGCACGTGACGAACTCAAAGAAAAACGTGGCGCAGAATATTCTTATCCTATTTTGGCGTTTCATGGTACAGCTATTGCTAATATTCAACCAATATGTGAAACAGGCTTCAAAGTACCTGGTTCGTAGAATTAACAGCAAACGTATAGCTCACTTTACCGTATTTCGTTTAAGGCCAAAAAGGATTTAAACATGCTACTGATTCTGGTTACTATGGACGAGGAACCTACTTTAGTGTAAGATATTTTAATAAATGACTAAATAACTGTAAGTGAAAATATTTTCACGTAGGAGTATCCTGGTTATTCAATGGGATATATTAAAGGTTCAACGAAGTTACTATTATGTCAAGTATTACAAGGAAAAGTAAGAATGTATGAATTTAATAAATATATCTCTAGATGATCTCCTTTTTTCCTTGAAAGATTTATCAATGTACTACATTGATTAGCGGCGCTGGTCTGCAAGATGTAAGAAAATATGATTATTGATGTATATATTATTGTATTTTCAAATTTCAGGGTTATGATTCACATTGCTCACCTTGCAAAAAAGAATTAATCATATTTCGCAGTGACTTTATTCTACCACAATATATCGTTCATTATAAATTAAATGCCGGCGAATTTAAATATGCAGTATGTACTATATGCATGACTCATGTAGATTTTACTTTACGAATTTTTATTTAGCCAAATGATATAACTAGAGAAGCCATTAAAAAGAAATTAGCCAAAATTGGCAAGTTATATAAAAAAGCTGTTACAACGAAAGATAAAACGTAAGAATACCTAGTTTTGTCGTTGTATTTTAATCAACTTTTCTTTTTGTCCCAGCGTATTTACTGGTTATAAGTTTGTATTTATTGGTCAAATGGCTGATACACCTTTAGCAATTGAGACACTAGTACAACGGTTCGGTGGTCAAGTTTGCAGTAAGCTTAAATTTCTCTAGAACGATTTATGAAAATCTTTCTTCTATATTATAGAGAATGAAATGGGGACCAGTGGCAAAAAGTCATCGAAAAAAGCATTTCACGGATACTTTGGATTTAGTAGTTATGATGCACCAACTATGATCATTTGCTCAGTTGCTGAAATCCAAGCAACGACTCCTTCCGCAGAATTGCAAGCATATAAAAATTTGGGTGTAAGTTATTATAATTAATTGTTGGTATTTATTCCTCGTTTTTTGCTTTGTTTTAGCATCCAGTATTCTATCGTGAAGATTTTCTATACGATTCAATTATTGCAGGTTCAGTAAAACCTTTGGAAGACTATACACATGATTGAATGAATAATTTTAACGATTCTATTGATTTATTGATATGATGCAGTTTTTCATTTCTGTCGATAGTACTGTGTTTTTATTTTTCTATACTTCTGCTTTGATAGGCATCTTTTATTAAAGATAATATTTTGATGAGAGCCTTAAAAATGCCGAAGGTTCAATTCAATTTTTATAGATCCATAAAATACAATTCATTTTTGAATAGTATGTATCAGTCATGTGAAAAAGTGAACATAACTTTTGGAAGAAGTAGTATTTCAAAGACGTAGTTTTGTTTCGTTAACAATGAGTTGTACGATGAATTTGATGTCAATGCATAAACGTATTCGTCTCGTCTATTTGATCGATCGAATTATTTTACAGTATAAAACAAAGCTACGACTACAATCCTAGAGAATCATATATTGGAACTTGAAGCCTTATAGGCTACGGTGCAATATGAGAAAGTTCTGTGGTAATAGTTCGAATTTTGTTTGTAAGAGTTAATTCGCACTCTTTTTCTCTTGTCGCAACAACGTCTATATCCTTCATGCTTCTCTTTCTTACGCTATAGCAAATGACCGCTTCCCAGTCGATCTCGGAACCTCTTAAACAATCTTTACGAGCTATAAAAAAGTTTTTAGAAGTTTCCGAATCTAAATTGTTTTTTATAGATTTACTGGGGCATGTGCATTTTTTTACTCACTTCAGTATAATGAGTTTTTTATTTTATAGAACATCAACATTTTGACTTCGATTAAAATCCTTAATAATTAGCGCGGAAGATGTAAAAAGTTATTCACTCATTAGAATGCAAAAACAATAAAAAGAGCATTGACTAAAATAAAGTTGCAAGCAAAACTTGTAACCAAATAAATTATTGAACTCAGGATTAGCATAGTTCTTCAAAAATAAATGTTTGCCTTTGCCATACTCAATGTATTCTTATTCGTTGTGTGTCGTTCGTCCGTGGACTACATGTTTTAAATATTGTTTGTCTATGCAGTTATTATATTAGAGGTTATTATTCATTGTAAAGAAATAAAATCGTTGATGTCAATGTGTTTTGTCTTTGACATCAATTTTTGTATTACGATAATAGAGAAAAAAGTAAGTCTGTAGTTCAATCAAGTCTCAAAGCTTCTGTTTGAATTAGTTTCTGAAAAGATTTATTCGTAGTGCTATTGAACTAATTCCGCTAGGAGCATGGATTGAAACGACAGTTTCTCTATTACTTACAAGTTTTATTGATTGTCTGCTATTACTCAGGTCAATAATTGTGATCCGGTTCTGACAGGAAAATTGTGGGAAACGTCCAAAGGTGAAAGCAGAACTTTAGCCGAAACTATTTGCAGTATATTCCGGCGAACTTCTCACTCTGTCTCGCTGAAAATGGCCACATATGACCGGGGGAAAGTCTGAAGTGTTCCGACCGAAAACTTCTTCGGATTTCTGTCTTTTCTTGGTACTTTCTTCCCAATATTTGGCGATTTTCCGTGTGGATTTCAGTGCGATACTACGATTTGCGAAGCCCAGACCTATCCACATGAGTATAACGTGACAGCAATTAAGTTTTTATTGAGTTCTATTTTTGATTCAGATTTTTCTGTTTTCTTTTATTACGTATAATTAGTTGCTAAGCTTTTTACTACTTTCATAACAACCTATTCTCTAAAAGAAGGGTATTCTAGGAAACTCAAAATAGGTTTCCGATAGTAACAAAATCGGAAACCCTTTAAGGGTTTCCCAGACACGGCTTTCGAGACCTCGGAAACCGAGGAACCAAGTAAAAATTTCCTTCAGATACCAATGTCGGAAACGGATTAGAGGTTTCCCAGATTTCCTTCTTCTCGTTCTGCATAAAGAACCACCAGATTGCTATAGCCCCGGTCGATCGTTCCGCCCACCGGATGGTGCAGAAACCGACAGCAAAGCCGCCTGAAAATCACCGTACCCTGTATGGAAACACACGATATCGCTGGAACATGGAAGCAGTATCGCGCCCGTAAAGTTTTCCAAGTTTTTTCTCATGATTTCCGGTGCATCTTGCCGAAAAACACAAGAAGTTGGTTGGGAAATCATCAAAACAAATCCAGACGGTTTGCGGCCGGAACGCTGCTGCCATGTTTTAATGATATCATCTGTTTTCCTACAGGACACAGTGGTTTTCAGGCATCTTTACTGTCAGTGTCTCCAGGATCTGGTGAAAAGAACGACCGGCATGGGATGCTGGATCTAAAAAGAAATAACATATTTCATCAGTTTTAACTATTAAGATCGAATTCACCATTAACATTTGTTTATCGGCCGTTGGGTTTAACAAGAAATAATATATTTCATCAGCTTTAACTATTAAAATCGAACTCACAATTATTATTTGCTAATCTTATGTTGCATCTAAATAAAAATAAAATATTTCATCAGCTTTTAACTTTCAAAATCGAACTCACCCTTGTATGATTTGTTCATCTGCCGTTTGATCTAAATAGAAATAAAATATTTCATCAGCTTTTAACTTTCAAAATCGAGCTCACCATTAACATTTACTCATCTAATAATCGATCTAAACTGAAACAAAACAAGTAACCATCGCCACTCGACTCACTGAACCCACAAATGCACAACGCATGCGTATTTTCTGTAGATACGGATACCGATAGGACCAATATATAAATTTTGTCACTTAATAGCAATAGAAATTTCAGCCAAATTCCAAATCTAAACGAAATCAAACCATCAATACCCACATCATCTTCAATTGTTAAACTCCTCTGACGCAGAAAAAGATTACCAGATTATGAGATGATAATATATACTCAGCCAACCTATACCCGAATCCTTAGAAAAAAATTTCAATATAAGGATAACAAGTCTCATTTCAGATCAGTTCAATTTCTGATCGATGGAAGCTGGAATCAAAAGAATGATGACGGATTCCGATTCTTGGATCCCGATAACCTATTTTAAACTTTCATCAGAATTGAGAACAAAGTTGAAATAAAATGTCGAACTCTGTAGTCTGTGGAATGTGGATCGGCCCAGGTTGATCGGAGAAAATGGCCTTCTGTGATATTTTGAACTTGGATCATGTTCTGTTTTCTGAAATATTCAACATTTTTAGAAGTATGAAAATCTTTTACAAATTGAGAAAAGCGCTGAAACCTATTTTGGTTTTCCAGAATACTTTTTGAACATTCAGTAGGCTTGGAAACCGATCAGGTTTCCGAATAATGGGTTTGGAAACCAAAAAGGTATTGGCGCATACCCATTCGGATACCAAGTCAGTTTTTCTGGCAATATTAGTTTCCTAGAATACCCTAAGGGTTTCTGAGAATATGGTTTGGTTTCAAGCAGCAAGAAAAAGGTTTTGTAGAATACCTTGAGGGCATCGAAATCGGTATTGTGGGAAACCTGAGGGTTTTCGAGGTCTCGGAAACCAAAAGCGTATTTTTGAAAACGCTTCAAGTTCTCCGAAACCCTCTCGGAAACGGTTTCGGGTTTCCGAATCGGCTTGGGTTTTGTAGGAAACGTTTTTTTTTAGAGAGTATTTGCTTGCAATCATTAACTTCCTGTAAATTTATATTCATCGATATTGTTACCGTGCACGACTAGTTTGACAGAAAAAATGCTTTATAAGTGCCTGGTATATTCAGATTTCCATTTCAATTTCAAGTTATCCAACTTACCCGATTATTTTCTTTAAATGCTATGGATATTTGATTGGTTGTACTAGGTGGAAAAGTGTGATAGAACTTGCTACAGTGTAAATAGATCAAAGAATAGAAATATAAATTTTGAATATGAATTGTAAGAATTTTAGTTTACTGACAACTTGCACAAATAGCTTGAGGATCGACACACTAAAAACAACAATACATATTCTAATTCATAATTGCATCATGCTTTTTATTGTAAATATATACTAGGAGCTTTTTTGATTAATTTAAATGAAATAAATCTTTACTTTTACTTAAAATGTTTCTCATTGATTCAAACGAGCATTAACTATTATCGTCATCAATGAGTGCTCAAGATTCTGAAAAACGCCTAGCTGATTCTTCAACTATTGTCAAATTACTCCATGAATTTGAGCTTACTCCACGGTAGCCTAGTTGTCAAAATAGAAGACAATTGTATCATCAGAAACATAATATTGTGTAATATGAATTACGATATGGATATGCAGTGGCGTAGCTAGGATTTTTTGAGCGTTGGGCCGCTTCCCAGCTAAATTATTTTGAGACATGGGCTGTATTGGGCAATTGAAAATCGATTGGGCCGCAACTGGAAGTTGTCAAAAGTTTATTGCTACCTCCAAATCTATGTTGTTT